TCTGGCACTCAGCAGTCCACTCTAAACGGTACTATCCTGCCCCTTCCCCTTGGTCTTTAACAAGTCTGTGAGGGGCAAGCTTACATGGGCAAAATTGAAGATGAAGGGATGATAGAAATTCACAAATCCTAAGAAGGACTGAAGTTGGCGTCTGCTTCTAGGTTTTTATGATCAGTCCATACCTCGAATGGCACTCGCACCCCCTCCAACCAATGCTGCCACGTAGTTAAGGCCAACTTAATAGCTATGCCCTCCTTGTCCCATACCGCCCAGTTCCATTCAGTAGTGTTGAATTTCTTGGAAACGTAGGCTAAGGGGTGTAAATTCCCATCTTACCCCTCTTGTAGTATCGTGCCCCCTTCATGGCAACATCTGAGGCATCAACTTGTATTATGAATTTTTTGTTCTCATCTGGGTGGTGTAAAATTGGCTCGGAGGTGAACAGTTCCTCTGGCACTCAGCAGTCCACTCTAAACGGTACTATCCTGCCCCTTCCCCTTGGTCTTTAACAAGTCTGTGAGGGGCAAGCTTACATGGGCAAAATTGAAGATGAAGGGATGATAGAAATTCACAAATCCTAAGAAGGACTGGAGTTGGCGTCTAGTCTGGGGGGCTTCCCACCCCAGCACATATGCCACCTTGTGAGGGTTCATCTCCAATCCCCTGGGGGAAATGTGGTAGCCCAAGAAGTCAACCTCAGTCTGATGAAACTCACACTTGGACAATTTGGCAAACAGCTTATCTTCATACAAAGTCTCTAGCACTTCCCCCACTAATTTTATGTGGAAATCTTTATCTTTGGAATATAAAATAATGTCATCCAAATACACCAGGGCCCCCTTAAACAAGTGCTTGTGCAACACTTCATTAATCAAGTTCATAAAAACCCCAGGAGCCCCCTGGAGTCCAAATGGAATCACTAAATATTCAAACTGGCCCAAAGGTGTGTTAAAAGCAGTTTTGGACTCATCCCCCTCCCGGATGCACACTTGAAAGTAAGCATCTCTTAAGTCCAGCTTGGTGAAAATTTTCCCTTTCGCAGCCTCAGCCAGGAGGTCCTGGATTAAAGGCAGAGGGTAAGCATTGGTAGTAGACACTGCATTCAATCCCCGGTAATCTGTGCAAAGCCTCTGGCTGTGCAAAGTCTTTCTTCTTCTGGAAGAGGACGGGGACTGCGAAAGGGGAGGAAACAAGGCAAATGAAGCCACAGGCCAGGTTTTTATCAATGAAATTCCACAACTACTCCTTCTCTGCTGGGCTCATCGACTACAGCTTTCCCTTGGGCAGCTTATGCCCTGGTAGAATTTCTATGGCACAGTCAGGATTGCGGTGTGGGGGGGGAGTCCATCCACCTCCTCCTCCTCAAACATCCAGGCTAAGTCTCTGTATTCCGGGGAAATGGAGGTCAGCTCTTCTTGAGCCAGGCAGGCCCACACTGGCAGGGCTTTCGGCGCCTCCCGCCACTCCTCAACCCATACGTGGGTCTTGCACCGAGGGGTGAAGAAATGGACAGTGCTCTCGCTCCAGCAGACATATGGGTCGTACGCCTGGAGTCATGGGCTTCCTAACACCATCGAGAGCCTGGCCGTGGGATTAATGACAAACGTCCTCTGCTCTCAATGAGACTACGTCCCCACGATGAGGGGCATGGTCTGGTGTTTACAGGGCTCCCTCATTATAGAGCCGTCCATGTGGGTGAAAATCAGGAGTTCGGGTAGCTTCTGCATGGGGAACCCTAACCCTGTAACTATGGAGGGGTTTATTAAATTAGAGCACCCAGAGTCTATGAGCACTCTCACGTGCACTTGAGTTCCCAGTTCCGGGTTTATTACTGATACAGTCACAAAAAATAAGGGGGGAATGCTGCTCACCAAATGTGGCGCTGACTGCTCTCGGACCTGCTGATTTGCGCCTTTCACAGCAGGTCCCAGCCTTTTCCCGCTGACTGTGGAGTCTTGTCTCCACTGGACAGAGCCTTTTCAGCCGGGGCACCCAAGTGGAGGGCTCTCAGATGCTTGGGGTGCATGCCACCTTCCTTCATAGGAGTTTTGGAACTTTTCCGCTCCAGCGCCTTGGGGCCTTGGGGTGTGAGGACAGAAGGCAGCATAGTGGCCGGGCTCCCCGTAGTGCAGGCATAGCCCCTGCCTCATTCGTTGGTCCTGCAGCGGCTCCCACAGTCATTGGGTCTTCACTCTCCCCCAGCGTTTTTGGGGCAGGCTTGGGAGTATGCATTCGGATCATCTGGAGGCGGTTCTCAGCATCTCCAGCCTCTTGCACCCAGGCTGCCAGCATCATTGGGTTAACGCTACAGAGCAACGTCTCCAGGATTTGGTGATTCAGTCCCAGACAGTATTGCTGAATGAGTACAGCTTCTGGCCACCCCTGGATTTTAGTTGCATACATTTTGAACTCGTCTGAGTACTCCCGTACCGAATGGGTTCCTTGTTTCAGAGCCCGTAGATTGGTGTGAGCCTTCTCTGCTTCCATGGGGTCTTTGTACTGCCTCTGTAGCACCCACATGAACACTTGCACATCATGGAGCCCTTATGTTGTAGAGCCCCATGTACCAATCGGCTGCCCGTTCTCTCCGTTGCAAACCGATGTAATCCACTCGGTGCTCATCCAATGGGAAGGTCTGGCCCCAATCCCGAAGGAATTTGCGTACTTGCAACAGGAAAAAAGCAAGCTTCTCCGGGTTACCGTCAAATGTAGCATCCAGCATCACACGGTGCCGGTCAGGTCCCATAGCAGGAGGTCCTGGGGTGGATACTCCTGGGGGCCCAGCTGGTGGTTGGTCTGCCAGCCCCCCCCCCGGTGGTCTGGCTGGACCCGGCGCTGGACCGGGGCTGATGGGCACCTTGTCTGCCGGGCCAGCTGGAGGAACTTTGCCGCTGGCGAGTTGCTGCAGCCGCAGCTCGTTCTGCACCGTCATTGCGATGAGATGGGGCAGGTCCAGCATCATCTCCTGAATATCTCTCCGCAGTTCATCTTGCTGAAGCTACATAGATAAGAAGAGCATAGAAGAAATAAAACTTCAGATTCCAGTACAGAGGCAGACCAACATCTCCCCCCCCCACACACACACACACAGCCATAGCAGTAATGCCAGAGGCTCAGCTGACACCTTGTTGATTGGTTTGAGAAATCCATCCTTCCAGGAACTTGTTCAGTGTTTTAATGGTTAGCCATTCCAACTCTGAAAGACGTTAGTGCTTGAGAAAAGACATGGTTTGGCAACTATTTCAACTGAACATGCTGAAGCATCAGCTCTTGACCTGAAGGAACTGCTGACAAAATTTGCTAAAGAAAAGGCACACAAAATGAGATTCTGTTGTGCCTGAAATGGAAACATTAAAGGGACTTAAATTTCAACATCACAATTAACAGCATTTTTCAAAATGCTTTGTGATTTGTGTTTTTCTGTTTGAGAGAGAAAATCAGAAATTGTATTACTTGTTCTCACAATTAAAAAAATAGCAATTTCAAATTTTGTGTTTTTTATTCTTCCTAAAATGTTTGAAAATTGGTGGTCGCAGGGGGGGAGGTAGCCTCGCCTAGTGTGCAAAAAAACAAAAACCAAAAAAACCCCAACCTGGCACCAGCCCTGGTCAGAGCCAACTACAAAATGGCTGCTGCAGAGCCACACACATACTCATAGAGGAAGCCCAAGTGCAGGGTACAAGATAAGTAATTTTTTTTAAAAAGCATGGAAGAGGAGTGAGAGAGTAAAAGCAACATGGGTGGCAGCTCCTGCTGGAAAAAAAATATTATTTTAATCTGCAAGATGAATCAGATCTCCAGTGGCCAGTCAGAAGTTGTGCTGGGCATGAGCTCCACCCACTTTTTAAAAACAATTAGTGGGCACCAGAAAAGGTGTTGGTGAGTACCATGGCACCGAAAAGCACCATGTTAGGGATCCCTGCCACAGAGTTACATGTCATTTGGCTGATCCTAATAAAAGGCACTACATTGCAATAGAGGAGCTGTGTTAGTCTATTGTAGCACAATAAAGCAGAAGTCCAAGAGCACTTTAAACACTAATATTTATTCCAACATGAGCTAAGGTCCTAGCTCTGCTCTTAAGATTCACGTTACTACATTCAAATTGCACCAGCTTTATAGAATGTTGCAATCACAGATATTGACCACCGGAGGGAGCCAAAAGCACACGCTAAATTTCTATCTGAAGAACAAAGTTTTGAGTCCAGTGACACCTTTAAGACCAACAAAATTTTATTCAAGATGCAAGCTTTCCTGCGCAAGCCCACTTCTTCAGATATAGCCGAACAAATTTTTGTGGTCTTAAAAGTGCCACTGGACTCAAACTTTGTTCTGCTGCTTCAGACCAACAGGGCTACCCACCTGTATGCAAATTTATGCATGTTACATACATCTGATTTAAGGTTGCCAGCCTCCAGGTGGTGGCTGGAGATCTCCTGGGATTACAGTTTATCTCTTGGCGACAGAGATCAGTGACACCTGGAGGAAATGGTCGCTTTGGAAGGTTGACTGTATGGCATTATACTCCGTTGAAGTCCCTCCCTGCCCCAACCCCGCTTTCTTCCTGCTACACCTCCCAAATCTCAAGGTATTTCCCAACCAGGAGATCTTAATCTGGCTGGAAGTCTTTGCATTGTAAGTAATATACTGTTTTCACCACAGAGATGCTAAAACCTAGAGGACCGCCACGGGGCGCTCATAGAGAACGGAGGCTTTCAATTTTTACAGGCATTAAAGCTCGCGGTTTTTTATCTACACGCAATTAGGTTTTGACTCGTTGCTATAGTGATACTTCCGGTCTTCTGTCGCTTCCGTCAGAGCGTGCCGCCTCTTTTGCAACAGTCGTAAAGGGCGGTGCATAGACGGAAGTGAAGGACCAGTGTGATTATTTGGTATGTTCAACGGGCGCGAAAGTGGGGAGTTCGGCTTTCGAGGGTGGTGGTGGAAGGTTTGTTTGAACATGCAAGTGTTACAGAGCGGGCGAGGAAAACAGTCGTAAAGGGCGGTGCATAGACGGAAGTGAAGGAGCAGTGTGATTATTTGGTATGTTGAACGAGCGCGAAAGTGGGGGATTAGGCTTTCGAGGGTGGTGGTGGAAGGTTTGCTTGACCATGCAAGTGTTACAGAGCGGGCGAGGAAACGAGTCAATGAGATTATTGGCCGTCTCACCCCACCCCACCCCCGGCTTCGTTCTCTGGTTTCCGCATCAGCACCGCACCCCACCCCCCCGCAGCCTTTAGAAACCGCCCGGATTCCAGGTGCAGCTATTTTCCTGGGTGAAGGGAATCGTTTCTCACACCTGCACGACGAGCATAAAAAGACACCTGGGTTAACTGGCATGGTGTTTAAAAAAAAAAAAGAGCAAGCAACGGAGATTGTAGTTTCATGGGTGTGTGAGTGAGAATTCTTTGGTAATCTTTAATTCCTCCACGATACTACAGTTTCCAAAATTCCTGGGGAATAAAAGAGGATGGAAGCTGGTTTGTATTTGTGGTTGGAAGTGTTCTGGGCTTCTGCCACGTTTTTACTAGGTTAATTAAAGGGCCGGTGTATTTACCAAGTGTGTTTACATACAGTGATAAACACAAAGTAAATAACATGTTTTGACTGGAGCAACTAGTTTTAGAACTTTGGTTTCTTTATCTTACATTTATTTTCAGGAAAATAGTCTTGTTAGATGATACGCTTGATTTATATCCTATGCTTCCTTTGTGACAGAGTGACATACATGGGATTTTCCCATCCCCTATTTTTTCTCACATTACTCTTGTAAATCAAGCTAGATGTTAATAATCAGTGTTGGGTCATCCGGTGAGCTTTAAAACTGAACAGCTATTTGAACCCAGGCATCCCCAGTCTATGGGCTGGATCCAGCAATCTGTCAATGAAAGGTGTTAACTGTAATGGACCTTCCCTTCCTCTCAGCAATTGCTTCTGACCTCAGGAAACCCTGGTTCCAGGGTTGTGGTGCCCACATGGAGTAATAGCCATGTGGGTCAGTGGAATGCAGTGAGGAGAAGGGATGGGGCAAAAATCACCCTTCCTGTCTCTTCCAACAGCAGAGCTGTGCTGTTGAAAAGAGAAGAGGGAGTGATTTCACCTTCTTATCCCTTTACACTGCAGCCCACCAACCTACTTGGCGTGTGTGCAAGTCCCGTCACCCTGGGAAAGAAGGCTCAGAAGGAACTGCTGTAGAGAGGGAAAGCAGGGGGTATCCATGGTCCTTATGAGATTACTGTTTCCAGTTCTGTGTCCCAAACTGCTCCATCATAATAGCTTATAAGTCTCCTTGCAGCCCAGAGGTGCTGCCTTTACCCTAGGGTAGCCCCAACAATAGGGGCACCCCACTTTCTAACCTGAGCTGGAGAGCCACGGGCCCAGACCAAGGAAGGCAATCTTGGTTCTGAACCACAGAGATAGGAAAAGCCTTGCAAAAGGATCTCCATTTTCAGGTGGCAAAAAAGGCAGGCCTCAGAGGGGAAAACAACCTCCTGTCTTCACCCCACCCCACGAAAGGCATGCATACGAAAACAATGGGTTCCACCAGGTAGGTATCTGCATTTCTAAAAGCTATTCAGTTGCTACCTTGCAAATAGTCCTATCTCCAGAACTTCACCTAGGCCTTTTGTGTGACCTAGCCCTATGTAAAAGCCCTTTTTCTCCAAGCCTCTTTTTCCCGCTCTATCCCTCGGGATACGGAGATAAACCAATCATACATTGAAATGTTTAGCAATTCTTCATGATGCTAATCAGGGACTCATCTTCCACCTTTTGTCTATACTTGGGAACCTTTTCAAACTACTCTGACTGGATCATTAATGGTCAGAAAACTCATTCAACTAGCCACCCAGTACCTGGCTGATTTAATCAAGGCCATTGTTAAGACTGACTCTGCCTCTCTGGAATGTCATTGGTCACATCCAGGTCTGGCTCCTCCTGATGCCAAACCCCCTGGGCCTCAGGATTGGCCCAGGTAATCTTTTGTCCTCACCTGAAAGAAGCCCCTCAAGACCTCCCATTGGTCAACATTGCTTTACAGAGTATATCTGTCCACGTGCACCCCCCACTTTCTCTGCCCCCTCTCATTGCGCATAACGCTGGCCATTGGCGCTGTTCTCTTCAAGGACTTCTGCACGTCTGGACAGGTAATGTTACCCAGTAACAGACCCCTCTATTTCACTATCAATCACCTCTGCTTTCCTTAGTCCTGTATTGCTTGCTCTTTTGAATGTTTAGTGTGCTTGTAATTAAGGGAAATACTTTAATAAAAACTATTTAGTTTACTCTTCAAATCTGGAGTTTTCCTACTGTGCCGGACCTTGCTTTACAAGTGGTGTGCGATTCCTGTACCCCTGTGGCCTTGCCTGTTACCTAGCTAATTTCCCCAAACAACAAGGCAGGCCATTGGTGGTAACATCCTCCCCCTGCAAAATAGGTAGCATTTAGAGGCTACTACATGAAACATGCTTTATACTGATTCAGGCAGATGCTTTAGGTGTAAATAGTTTTTTCTTTTCTTGATAGCACCATGGATGCACGATTTACTCGTGGGAAGTCAGCTATCCTTGAGCGGTCGCTCACCCGCCCAAAGACGGATGTCAGTCTCAGTGCTTTTTCGCTACTGTTCTCTGAGATTGTGCAGTACTGCCAGAACCGGGTATACTCTGTCTCAGAGCTTCAGAACAAGCTTTCTGAACTTGGCCAGCAAGTCGGAGCCCGCATCCTGGATGTTCTGGTGATGCGGGAGAAAAATGGTAAGCGAGAAACTAAAGTCATCAACATCCTGCTCTTCATCAAGGTGACCGTATGGAAGGCGCTCTTTGGGAAGGAGGCGGATAAGCTGGAGCAAGCCAATGATGATGACAAGACCTACTACATCATTGAAAAGGAGCCTCTCATCAACACATACATTTCAGTGCCCAAGGAGAATAGCACTCTCAACTGTGCCTCCTTCACAGCGGGCATCGTGGAGGCCATGCTCACCTGCAGCGGCTTCCCTGCTAAGGTCACAGCCCACTGGCACAAGGGCACCACCCTCATGATCAAATTTGATGAGTCAGTTATAGCACGTGACAAAGCTCTGGATGGCCGCTGAGTAGAAGTGGTCTGAACTGATCTGAATTGCTTTTGGGTAATGTGTACTCTGACAGGAGTTTGAACTTGCTGCCCTGACCATCTTTGGGCTGCATGTAGTGCGGGAAAACCAGTCCACTTCATGTTGTTATGTCCTCTACATTAACTCTGGTAGTGATTTTTTTTCCCCAGCATTGGTACTTATTACCCAGGACCATTTCAATTTCCAGAGATCTTCCCTGATTGCATTCTTAAGCTTGGCAAGACTGAAAGCTGGGTAGGCAATGGAGATTATACTTTTCCCTGCCACAGTGTAGCTCAGCCAGTGAGTAGGGCTAAGCTTAGTTTCCATACATATGATTTGATTTAAGGTATCTTTCTCTCCTATTGTCCTGTATTTCTTTGTTTCTCCTCTTCTGAAGTTGCACCTAAAGAATAGTTCTAAAGCATGAATGTGGACGGCCTGTTTGCATTTAGAATGAGCCAAGAAGTTCTCATTTTTGTCATGTTTTTTGTTGTTGCAGAGTTAGCCTCTATAAATTGGTGTTAAGTGTTGTTCTTACATTCTGGCCTGCAGGAATGAGTTGGAATTGGTTTAGCAAAGGCATTTTCTTCTGCCAACTCTTGATCATTGTGTTCTGGCAGCCAACAGCAGAGCTCTAGAGGTCTAGCACTTCCCTTTTCTCTGAAGTCAGGCTTGGAGGAGGCCAAGCAATGCATGTTTGAGAGTTGTTCCCCCAAAGACATTCCAGCCTTAAGTTGCAACATAGCAGCAGATGTCCATCTCTGAATTAAGGATTCCTGTGGAATGGGTGGGTCTTTTTGTTATTTTGTTAAAGAAAAAGGAAAATACCAAGAACCTATGGTTGAAAGAAGCTTGCTTGCTGGGCTATTTTTTTTTAAAGTTTAAAATTGTTCCATTAAATATGGTTATGATACTAAAGGTTCTGAATGGTGTGTTGTTGTTGCTCTCCTCCCAGTTAATAAACTGTTGAATAACCATTGTTGTTGTTTTTTTTTGGGGGGGGGTTGTCTGCTTTTTTTGATGCTAAGATATTCCGCTGTATTGAACTTACTCATTTTGTTCCTGTGTTGTACTCAGCACATTGCACCTGACTGTAACAATGTGCAGCAGCAAGTCCCATTGAACCATTACTTTACTTTCATATGTTTTAGTGGGGAAATGCTTGCTTTATGGTTTTCATGTGATTCTTAAGTAGTTCAGTAATGCCTTGTTATCTATTTGGGAATGAGACTTCTGTGTCTCTGAAAACCCTAGAGTGGAGGCAGAGAAGTCATTCCACTAGCGGTGGTTGTTTTCTCTGATGCAAGTAGCCTTCTTCCCTCAGAACACACCTCTTTTAGCAAAGCAAGGTTCCCTGCAGTGAAATGGAACGTGCCTCTAGTGAAGGGCTATGAAAGGTTTAGTTTAGGAACTACCCGGAATAAGTGAACATTGGAATTTGTCTGCAGACCAAGGTGGCTTGTTGAAACGTCTGTCTATTGGGGGAATTTTCAAATTTATCCATCAAACAGAAGGATGCTTCAGCCAGAGGAGGCTTGATCTTCAAATGGGGCCTTGCCAATGGGTGCTGGCTGCCTTCCATCCAGTAGGCACTTTTCCCAAGTTGACTTCCATTGACTTGCTACCTAGCTAAACTTCTTAATTAATCTTCAACATTGTTAATATAGGGCCCACTACATTTTTTTTTTTGCTTTCACCCTTACAGGGGGTCAGTGTGTCATGTTCAGTTGTTGGAGGAACCTTTGACAAACTGCTGCAGAATAGGGACAAAATTGCTTTCTTCTGTCTCAACAACTTGCTGCAACTTAAACTGTTCCCACATCCTGCACAGTCTAATCCGGTTAGTCTGCTGCACATCCTGTGTTCCATTTTAGGCTACAACTCCAGCTTTTTTGCTTTGCTGCTATGCTTTGAAAGGTTTTCTCTTCTTCCCCTGCCCCAGCACTATTTTTGTACTGAATGTTCATCCTGATGAAGGATTCTAAAAGACCTCAGAAGCTTGCATGCTATTTTGTGATATTTTGGTTAGTCAAATGAAAGATACTGCATTACTTTTGTTTTCACTACAGGTATAGGATCACAGTATGAGGATTTGTTCCAAAACCATTGAATTATATCAATCAATCAATCAATCAATCAATCGACCTTTATTGGCATAACATACAAAACATAAGACTCAATTTTCAAGGAATACTGAACGCTTTCTTGAAGCTTCATACAGAGATTTTGCAACACTTTCAATTATTATGTGATTTTGGGTTGTCAGCAAAAAGTAAATCTTACATTTATCAGGTTTTCCTGAATATTTTCTCAACCATGGCTCAACGAATGTAAGGCGCAGGTCAGAGTAGAAAGTGCATGAAAGAGACACATGTTCAAGAGTTTCTGTCGCCTGCTTAGGGTTGAATGGAATTTTTTGGAATCTCCCATATAATACTGCTGATGGCAACACATTAAACCTTGCTAACATATATGCTCTTCATTGCCCCGGGTTCATTAAACAAGTTAGATACTCAGCCCTATGCCCAAAAGGTAAAGGCCCCAAATTAAGGGGTGAGCATACTCATACATAATTTGCAACTGGGGGTGAGCAGGGTTGTGGCCAGGTCTGCAAATGACACAAAATTATTCAGGACGGTGCAAACCAAGGATGACTGTGAAGCACTTCAGGAAGACCTCCACAGACTGGGTGGCAAATGAAGTTCAGTGTAGGTAAGTGTAAGGTGATGCACATTGGAACAAAAAATCCCAACTTCAAGTACATGCTAATGGGGTCAGAACTTGCTGAGATGGAGAGGGAACGAGAGCCTGGGGTCGTAGTCCAATGAAAATGTCAACCCAGTGTGTGGCAGCAGTCATAAAGGCAAACTCTGTGCTGGGGAACAAATTTAGAGTCCAGTAGCACCTCTAAGACCAACAAAGGTTTATTCAGGTATGAGCTTTCATGTGCACGCATACTTTTTCAAATACATTGGAATGGCAGGTAAGGTTCAAACTTATAGCCAGAGAATGAACAGCAAATTAACATGTAACATGATGATGTTTAAGATATGCAAAGTGAAAACTAGACAACAGTTTAGTTTTGTTCAACTAAAAAACAAGTTAAGGTTATAACCTCAACAGCTGTAAAGCAATAAATATGTCAAAATAGCAGATAAATGTCCAAAGGTGCCTTTTCTAATTGTGGGAAGTAACTGAGAATCTTAATTCTCTCCTCTCAGGTGTGAAGGGCACTTAAGAGCAGTTTTTGAGGGAGGTGTAGTCATGTCAGCAGACATCCCAATATCCCTTGCAGTACTTTCAGTATTCTAATGTACTATTCGGAAAAAGAACTACACTAAAATACGGAGGATTTATAGTCCTTGTTGAGAATACATATGTGAGGACTGAATGAGTTAGCACATGTAATGAAATAAAAAACCCAATATCCCTGTTGAGTCCTGGGGAGGTCCCCCCCCCAAGTGTTGTAATAACTTGTAATTCAGCAATTTCCCTTTCCATTCTGTTCCCATCAATGGGTAACCTCAAAGTAGCTGTTTTATTACAAAGGAACTTTAAGTGGCAACATCAGGGGGAGGCTTTGACCTCTAGGCCCTGTTCTTAGCCTGTCTACCAAGGTCCAATATTTGATCTAATGCCTCATAAGGGTGTGCAGATTCTTAGAATAAACAGACATTTGTGTAAAGTTAAGTATTTATTAAGAAAAAGAATAATAGCAAATGGAATTAACTGAATACAGAGTTTGAAATTTGTGCACACACACAAAATAAATGTTTTACAAATTCTAACATACTAATTCCTAATGTAAGCAAATAGTACTGATTTAGAAAATTATACTAATTTAAAGAGAGTTTGGAGAGAAATGGGGGGAAGAGGAGGAGGGAGAAAAATATACTAGCCTGTCCTGGTGAATAAAATCCATTACAGTTCATCAGAGGAAGGAGAAAGTGATGTGGAGGACCTGAGCCCAATCTTCACAGATGCCTGCACTGAAATAGTAGGGGTGATGCAGAGTCCTTGCACGTATTCCCCAGTACACATTCCCACATGGGGTTGTGGAGCCAGTTGCTGGAGCCCACTATAGAGATGGGAACCAATGGCTGGGGGGGGGGGGTTGGGATTCTTGGGGCTAAATTTGCATCCCAAAAGTGTGAAACAGATTGGATTGGAGCCAAAACTTTCAAACCTCATTGGAAGGTCAGTAAGAAAGATTGTGCAGGAAAGATATCTCTCTAGGAGGGTGTGAGGAAATGCATTTTTTCTTTGGAGGTTTGAAATGAGCAAAACCTTCGCTCTAAGGTTTTTTTAAAAAAATCCCCCACTGTGCAGAGAACAGGCAGGGAGGGAAGTCAGTTCAATTGATTTTCAGACTTACCTCAGCTTACTTTCATACAAATGCTAATAGGTATAGCTAGAGACAATTGGATGGGCCATTCCCCCCACCACCACCCCCAGCAGGGAACAGAGATTTGGAGGAATTAAGACTAGAAGGACTTCAGGAAGAAACCCCTGGAGACTTCAGTTTGGTGCATTGTTTAAGAGTAGCAGACTAACTGGAGAACCGGGTTTATTTCCCCACTCCTCCACATGAAGCCAGCTGGGTGACCTTGGGCCAGTCACAGTTCTCTCAGAGCTCTCTCAGCCCCACCTACTTCACAGGGTGTCTGTTGTAGGGAGAAGAAGGGAAGGCAATTGTAAGCCACTTTGAGACATCTTTGGGTAGTGAAAAGCAAGGTATAAAACCCAAATCTTCTTCTTCTTTGACCCAGCCTAACCTGGTCAGTGGGTGGGGAAAAGACAGAGATAAACGTCCTGGGAGCAAGGAGGAAGGTCTCTCAAAACAGGAGAGCTCTTAACTGAGGTCTGGAGGAGGAGGCCATTGCCATGTGCTGGCCTACACACTGGAAGGAGGATTGAAGGTAAGGGAACTGCTGTAAAGATCTGTAAGTTTCTAAGTAAGGAGCCTGTCTTATATTTAACAACAGATAGGGCATGTTTAGAGAGAGGGACAGAGGGATTGTGTTTTACCCATTTCTCTTGAACCCCTTGCTCAGTCTGGTGCTGTGCTAAAAGCATGCTTGTGAACCTTTTCTTTTTAATAAATGCATTATCTTTTGATTCTGGTAGTGGTTCTCTTTGCCACATAAACCTCCACCTTCTTGGATACTCTATCTTAAAAGGAGTGTCTGGAGGAAGGGGAGGCCATTCATTTGGCATGTGGCTACTCCCCTAATGGTGCACAAGGCAGTAAGCTGTTCCAACTGAGTAATGGGAGACACAGAGGCAAGGCCTCAGAATGTGGGAGGGAAGCTGGTAGTTCTGGCCCAATTGTGGTTGTTGAAATGGGGGGGGGGGGGAAGAGACTGTGAAGGAAATAAATATATCACAATCGGAGATTGATCAGTTGATGTCATTCCAAAATCATGGACAGATTCTGTTAGTGTTTGTGGAATGATGAATATAATTAACGGAATATTATTACCTTTAAACGGGGGCGGGGGGTGAGCTTGCTCACACATCTTTCCCCAAGCATGGTGGCAATTGCATTACATCCTCTCTCTGAAGTAGTGTAATATGCTGCTTGACGTTTCCCTTCTGCCTCCAGATTAGAGAAATGCATTCCTCTGTACTCATTCAAACTTTGGTAGAGCCCAGATTAAGAAAATAAAATAAAAAGATCCATAACCTTTCTGGGTGATCGATGAAGGGATCTCAGCTATGTACTCACACACTGAGGTAATAGGTCCTACAGAGTACTGTAACTGGTCAGCCACTGTGTGAGAAAAGATACTGAACTAGATGGACCACGGGTCTGATCCAGCAGGGGTCTTCTGATGATCTTATGACTCTGTCTAGTTTCCTATTGAAAAATGTAACTTTTGCTGGAATTGCAGAAATACAATACAGGGTCATTGTTTTGCACTCCCTGAAGAACATCCAGTCTAAAGCGGCTGCAAACATTTTGAAAGAACCATATAATAGTGAGAGAAAACTTTTGTTCAAGTTTTAAAACAAAAGACCCCCTCTGTCCAGGCAATCCCACCTATGTTTGGCCCTTCAGTATGTCTTGTGTGGGGAGAAGTATAGATTGCTGGATTTTTATTGAGAGATTCTTCCCATGGCTTTAGGGAATCTGTAGATTCAGCTGAAGGAACCCAGAAACCGGCAAAAGGGATTATGCTGTGTTAACTGTGTCAACTGAGATAAGGAGCTAGTGAGATGCCAACAGAAATTCTTACATATCAGAAACCACTATCACAAGCAATCAGACTGCACAGGTCTAGGTCCCACACATAAAAAGACCCCCAGAACAGTGTGCAAGAGCAAGACTGTTATACAGGGTACCCTTCCTTGACCCCCAAACCTGAAAAAACTTCATTTGAAGTTCCTAGAATGCACTGCTGTTTGCTGAAGAAGCAAAAGATGTCTGGGATTCCTAGGCACACCTACAACTCTGACAAAAAAAAGAACAGTCTTATGACCAACAAGAAGTACTCTTTTTGGCATATTGTTTTAGGGATACTGGAAGATATTAGTAGGGGGGATTTTTGGTCCCCTGAGTGCCTAAGTAAACAATAAATCCGGGAAGAATTAACACCATGTGTCTGTTCCTACCTCTAAGGAGGGGCTGTAACCAAGGCACCACTCCAGACCACAGGAACTGGGGAAAAGTCCAGGAGGAAGGCAGACTGAGCAGCAGACTTTTCTTTTTAAAGTCCAACAGCCTTTGATGTCTTGCTGTGTTTCAAGGCCACCAAAGACCACTCCCTGCCTAGCCCTTCTCTCCCCCCTAGTCCTCAACTGTCTGAAGGTTGAGATGCCCACAAGCCTGTGAGAGTCCTGTCTTCCTAGCTTTCCTTCATCCTTGGATAGGTAACTATGAAGCTGCTTTATTTGTTTGTTTGTGGTAAGTATTGTGTATGTTTATGTATGTGACTTCTGGTGACCCCTAGTGAGGCTTGGATGTTTCAGAGAGGTGGCTTGCTATTGCCTGCCTCTGTGTCCCCGTATCCCTTGAAGGTCTCCCATTCAAGTTCATGCTTGGATCAACTCTGCTGCTTGTGTGCTAGGAACCTCAGCTGTAACTAGAAGGTCAGGAGGGTGGCGAGGAGGCAATTAGCAGTTTAAATATTCAGAACAACTAACATGCATTAAGCTTCCCCCATGTCTGCAGAAAAATACCCACAATTCAGCATTAGGTTTAGGACAAGTAAGGGACCCATAAGATTATCAGGGGATTCCATCCTTTGCCCTGACTCACCAGGCAGTTTCTCAACCCATCTGCAGTGCCTCCACCTCCCTCATTTGCCCCTCCCCTGACCACCAGAGGTGGTGGTGATGACGAGGTTGGCATCAATAGTGGAGTGGCTGGCAGAAGTGGCTCCTATTCCTCCACTGCTCCCCTCTGCCACCTGGGGGGGGATTGGCTCCCATTCCTCCTCCCCTGCCTACAGAAGTGAGGCGGTGGTAAAGCTGGTGTTGGTGGAAGAGGGGAGCAGTGGTGGCTCCTCCTCTCCAGATCTGCAGAAGAATATTCCTCCTCCCCTGCCTATAGAAGTGAGGTGGTGGTAAAGCTGGTGTTGGTGGCAGAGGGGAGCAGTGGTCGCTCCTCCTCTCCAGATCTGCAGAAGAATACCCAGTATCTGAACCTGAGCCAATTATCTGGATGTATCAATCCATAAGGGTGGGCAGGTTCAGCTTTACATACAGGTATACTCTTTACAACAAACCCAAAACCTAGAAAAACAAAAGCAAGAAAACTGATCAAAATACCAAATAAAAGTTTTTATTACAAAGTAAACCTATATAACAGAATCTACTAACATAAATTGAAGTCCTTAATGCCATATTTTATCTAATCTCTCCGTGTGATTAACGCTTCAAGGCTGTGATGTCACAAATATGCATTTCCTTAATTTTATTTACCCACTGGTGTTTACAATGTAAAATATATTGTTTCTATTTCTTAGCAAATGTTAATCTAGCAGTGAGATCAGTGATCCCTCTAAGATGAGTTAGTGTGAGCTAGCTCACAGTTTTTTAGCATCCAGCTCACACGTTTTTGTCTCAGCTCAGGAAGGATGGCTCCTGAGCAACCTAATCTATGCAGCAGCCAAATTGCTCACTCACAGCTTTAATGCCAGTAGCTCACAAAGTAGAATTTTTGCTCACAAGACTCCACAGTTTAGAGGGAACATTGAGTGGGACGTAGAATGGTATGGTATAACCCAATCTCATCAGATCTTGTATGCTAGGCAGAGCTGCCTTGATGAGGGGCCATCAAGGGAGACTCTGCAGAGGAAGGCAATGGCAAACTACCTCTGCTTCTCACGTGCCTTGCAAGTCCCTCGATGGGGTTGCCATACGTTGGCTGAGACTTGATATACACATAAACATGCATATAAACTGCAGTAATAAGTATATTAAGAGTATTATTTTTATGTCATAGAAGCTTAATTTAATAACATGAACTCTGGAGTAAAACATACATGGTATGATCATTCTGAGACATTCTGATAAAACTATCGAAACTATTATCCATAATTTAGAGGTTCGCTCAGATAACCACCATATGGGAGAAAATGTTCTATGTGCATCACAAAACCAAAAGTTCCCCTCCAAATTGTTACAAATTTTGACTAGTTTTTGAGAGATGTCGTTGATGGACCATTTTCATTAAATTCTCTCTAAGCAAATGACCAACTGAAAAAACTGAACAAGAATAATCATATGTGCCCAAACTTCACCATTAGTCTCATATCTTACACCCCCTTTTGACAGAACTTTTTTCCTTTGGCTAACATGCTGTTACAAGCTAAATGGAATATATTGCTGGGAAAGGTTGCTTGCCTTTTTCAACCATCAGCATTTTGAACTTACTAAGTAAATGGTACTTACTTTTGAGTAGACCTGCTTAGTTGTGCTCCCTCAGGGATTCAATCTTAGAAGTAAATTGGTCTTTATTTGTAAATATTAAAAATCAGATATGATATTGTTACTGTAAGTTTATGCCACCTTAAATGTGATTGCCTTTGCTTCATGTGTAGAAATAATTTGCCCCCCAGAAGGTGTCAGAGTTTGCACTGCTAGAAGATCTGTTTCAGCAAGGGCCAGAGTCACGAAGAACAAACCTTCTGCATTTTGGATTCTATTCTTGCTGGCCACTATTGGCAATTCCATGGCTTTTCACAGATACTGGCCACCAAGGCTTCACATCTGTAATCATTCCAATAGCCATTTTCTTGCATCACGACACAGTCCTCACCGTGGCCATGATTATTGGGCTCCCCTAGAATCCAGTGGCTATGGAAGACAAGTGATGGCAATGTCAGTAAAATTCCTGTGAGGCTGTTTTTACACATGATTCGGTAAATACTTTCTGATAACCAGCAATGAGTTGTGTAGAGAAATGTCTTTCACTTTGGCCACATCACACTGCTGGGAGTTCGGAGGCTGCAAAACCTCCACCTTCATGTATCATTTGTTTATTATTAATTACAATAATTACACAAATGGGGCGTTCCGTAATTATTGTAATTGAAAATGAAACAAAATCCCCACCTAAACATCCTATAATAAATAGATGATGATTTTCTTTCGTTTTGTTTGGATTTCTTTTGTTATTGCAGTCTCTGCCTGTATTGGTTTCTCTTTTTTAAGGCACGCAGTGTTTTACTAAGAAGGACATAGAGGGAGCACTATGTTCCTTAGAGGAGGAGACAGGTTCTGCCTTTTCTTGACTGACTGCAAGTTGTAGCCACTAGGACTACATATATTCCAAGCCTGAAAAATATAGGGCCTTTCTGTCTCCTCCCAGTGCCTGCCCTGGTATGCCAAACTCTGACTTGCAGTCTATGCTCCCCCCATTAGCCTGCTGCTCTCATCCCTGTCCCACATCGAAGCAAATGTACCTCAAGGTCCTCTTGTCTTGATAGCATACCCTTCTTGTGCCACCAAATGCCCTCTCCTTGCCAGTCTACCTCTTCCTCATGCTATTATTCTTAAGCTAAGTGACTGCAATGTTGTCTGTTCTACTTTTTAGTATCTTTCCTATCAATTCCATGGACTTCAATGTTAAACATAGGTGCCTTTCATTGCCTCAGTAGAGGTGGGTAGGGCTTTATTTTATCTGTCTGAAATCTGGCAATTCCTTGGGAATACTATAGTCACACTGAATTTGGTTCAGTTTGGATGGAAAACCATGAAGGTACATACCAGAGACAAGGTGGGGAGATCTTCCATTGAAACCAATGGGAAATAGTACAAAATTGAATTACGAAAACAAAGCAACAATAATGAAAAAAAAATAAGGAAATAAAACCATTTGCAAAACGCAATAACTGAAGTCTGTCATGACCCCCTCTAGCTATTCTTAATTGGAATCCCTAGGTGGGGTTGTCATCCCCCAGGTCCCAGTGGGGGGTTCCCTGGTTTTGGGAGCTCCAACCCGCCACTGGCCAGCTGGTCTGACCTACAACAGCCACCACCCCCACTTCTCCCCCAAAGCATTTAAAGGGATCCTTTAAATGCTTTGGGAGAGAAGTGGGGGCCAGTGCGCGCCTGCAATCCAAGCTGCACATTCACAGCTTGGATTGCAGGTGCCCTCCCTTTCCCAAAGCATTTAAAGGGATCCCTTTACATGCTTTGCGGGAGAAGCGGGAGGAGGGGCACCTGCAGTCCAAACCATGAATTTGTGATTTGGAACACAGGTGCTGGTCCTCAATGTGATGACATCACTTCTGCATGATGTCATCATGTTGGCCTGTCCCCGCCCCCCTGGAACGCCCCCCAAAGTTCCCTGTTGGGGACTCAGAGGGACCTGGCAACCCTATCCCTAGGGGAGGAGCCAAGGTCAGTGACTGAGGGGGATCAGAGGGACCAGGAAGCGCCAACACTGCAGAGCCACTTGTAGAGGACTCCTCCTCAGTGCCAGAGGTTGCCTTGCTGGAACTTGCAAGGAAAACCTCTTCATCAGCCCCAAAGATAGTCTCCAGGCCTCTGCTATGCAGGACTCAAGCTCAGCCCTGTGGTCCCTATGGCCATCTTCTAGTCCACAGAAATGTTGGTGGTAGAGGGCCCAGGCTAGGGATGCCAGCCTCCAGATGGAACTTGGGGAATCCTCTGGGATGCCAGTTCATCTCCAGGCTGCAGAGATTGGTTCCCCGGGAAAAAATGGATGCTTTGGAGGGTGGACTCTATGGCATTGTATGCCACTGAGGTCCCTGTTCTCCCCTGGCTCCATCCGCAAATCTCCAGGAGTTTCATAACCTGAAGCTGGTAACCCTACTCCCTATCCCCTGCCAGTGGCCAAGGGGGACCTGGCAACCTTAGCCCGGGCCAAAGTGGCACAAAGGAGGCAAGGTGGCAGGCTTGCTGCATGCAATACCAGGGGAGAGCAGTGCACTGAGGATGAGTCCTTGCAGGATCATGTCCAGTGTGCAGAGCTGCCTCACACACTCCAGCACCTGTCGGCAATACAGATGGACTCAATTACATCCCAGCCTACTTAAGCTGGGGCCTGGAAAGTCAGCCTTATTGAGTCAACTGGTTTCTAAGGCCACAATCTTTGCTTCCTGGAACTAGCTCTCCAGACCCTGCTGACTCCTGTGTGCCAGATGTTGCCTGCTCCTGAAGCCCAGACCCTGCTTCGTGACCATTTGCAGGGTTGGACCTGACCCTTGCGAAGACTAGCCTGAGGTCAGAAAATAATGTCTTTTGTATTTAATAACAAAAATGAAATAAAAGCCTATGCACAGTAAGAAAAGGGAAAGGAAAGGGTTTTCTTATTATAGCATTACTTAGTGTTTGTCAGATGGCTACCATATCAAACTGCTGTGCTGTCTGTCTTGTTTAAATCTGTTTTAACTATTTATTGTGGAAGATTTTTATGAAATTGTGAAATCTTTTAATTCCTGTTGTCCCAGGCTTCTTAAACACTTCTTTGAGTGGCAGATTGTCAACACTAAGTGAACATGCCAGTGGTGAAGAGTCAGATTTCCTGACAAAATCTTCCAATCTATCCCTTACTTGAATGTTTTTGTTTGGAATATCTACTTGGATAGCAAGATTACATCTAGGCTTGCCAAGTCCCCCTGGGGGCGGGGAAACCCCCGCCCCAGAGGCCCTGGGGCCGGGGCCACAGTCATCCAAGGGAAAACTCTATGGTTTTCCCTCGGATGGTCGTGGCCCCGCCCCCAGCGTGCCCGGAATGGTTGCTTCACTTCTGAGTGATGTGGATGCGGCGCGCGCTCCAGCCACTAGCCGGGAGTCCCCTGCTGTGGCGAAATTCGAACTTGGCAACCCTAATTACATCACTTTCTTTAGTAGTTACTGTGGCAGAATTTTGGATTAGGGGAGACTTGGCCATTTATGTATAAGGTAAATTGAATAGATGTAGCAAAAGCAGACTTTGGTTTCTTCCCATGAAGCACTGCAGTATGTCCAATGCCTGCTTCCTAGTTGCAAAGTGGTGCCTCACTATGAACGCTGTGAGCCCTTTTCCCACACAAAGCCAAATGCTTTTAGCCAAATGCACTAATCCTCAAGGCTGAATATCTAGAGTTTTTGTTTACAACTCTCTGGCTCTGGCCAGGGGCTTTGACCTGATAGCCCTTGGGGAGTCAATGTTTATGGTTTTATGGTGCCATTAAGGGGAAGGATCTGGCTATTGGTGAGCCCATGACATTTCCAGTGGACATTTGATGTATGTCTTTTATTATCTTGCAAAAATGTATAAAAAGTGTCAATATTCCATTGTATGCCACTGTCAACCAGACTGGCAGGATTAAGGTCCTCTGCATGACAGTCAAGAGAATTGTCTTTCTTAGCTTAGATTATCCGGTGTATACTGTGTTTAAATTCGATGCTCTGAGATTTTCTATCATTTTGCTTAAGGTTCGATAAAATAGATGCTTGTCCTCTTCTCATCCTACTGAGACTGGGTGTCCTACGCGATCCCATCCAGCCCAGTGAACCTAAGTGAGGCTGGTGCCCCAGGTGGAAGCCTGGTGACTAGGTAAAACTATTTTCTTGCAAAAGTTACTTATAACTCAATTCAGGTCATTTGGATACAGAATTTGGATAAGATAATTTGGATGCAAAATAATAAAGGAATGTTTTTTCTGGATTCACGGGAAGCTTGAAACCAGGGCTTTTTTGGTAGAAAAAGCCCAGCAGGAACTCATTTCCATAACAGGCCACACCGAATAGCAGAAACTCATTAGCATATTAGGCCACACCCCTGATGGCACAGCTCATTAGCATATCAGGCCACGCCCCATGCCTTCCCTTGGCTTGCCTGGGTGCCCCATGGCTGTGGGGAGCCTGGGCAAGCCAGCCCTTGGACATTTAAATGCCCCCCCAATCCTTCCAGGGGGCCCCTGGCCCACCCGCCTCAGAGTCACTGGGAGGAGTCACTCTCCAGGCCTTCCCTCTGTAGCTACGCATGCAGAGGTTTTGGCTGCAGTGGGTATGGCCAACTCTGAAGCCAGCCGGAACTCTGTTCCTGTGCGTTCCTGCCCAAAAATAGCCCTGCTTGAAACAATGTCTCAGAAGTGGGGAAAGTGATTCATCTCAATCTCCACCCTTGGGTATATGATTTTGTAGTAATGAAATGGGTTTGCAGTACTCCATCCCCAGAGTGTTTATTTAAAAGATGCTAAGAAACACATGAACATATTACTAGACTTACGTGTACTTTAGAGGACTCTTATCAACCCAGGTGAACACATTTTCAGTTTTCATATCATTGAGACCAATCCAATATTCAGTGGCTTTTTTCTTTGATATGAGAAATGCCTGAAACACAAACCCAATTACATTACCATATTTAACTAAAATATACTATACCAAGATTACAATCTGTACCTAACCTCTTGGATTCAATGTAAACTTAACTGTGTTAGGGAGGAGACCACAGCTTTTCTATGAATTACATGGATTACTGTGGGGGTTTTTTTTGTAAATATTTTTATTTTTATAACACAAAGACAAAGACAAACAATAATACATACAAACATTCAATGGGAGAATCCCGGCTCTTTGGGTTAGCTGCTAAATTGTCCATACATCTCCCAAGTAAAATATGTTTCTACATCTTATAATGTTAAATATACCTTTTGCACATTTTATTATAGATACTCTCATTGTACTCTATTTCAGTTGTGCTCACGTTTCATTTAATGTATTCTTTAATCCAACTGTAAAGTCTTGATCATGTATTTTCAAAGTTTTCCTCTTTATGTCCTTTCAAAATTAAAGTTAATTTGGACACTTCAGCAGTTTTGAGTAGTTCATTTATTATTTCTTCTTTGGAAGATATCTCCTTTCTTCTCCAATATTTAGCATATAATACTCTAGCAGTTGTAATTACATGTACAATAAGATAGGAATCTTGCTTTTTACAATTTTCTGGAAGTATATTCAATAAAAACAATTCTGGTATGAAAGGTATGTTACTTTTTAATTTAATTTTTTTTGGCAATATTTCATGTATCTAAGCCCAAAACCTTTTACAAATTTTGGCACCCCAGATAGGACAAGACTTACCGCTAGCTGTACCAGAAAGAACCAACATTTTTTTTTACATTTCCAGCAGTCATTTGACATATTAGGATAAAATTTAAATAGCTTATCTGGTGTAATATACCATCTATAGAACATTTTATATATATTTTCTTTGTAAGAAATTGCTTTGGTAATTTTTATATTTGTTTTCCATATCTTAGACCATTGATCTAAATCAATGTTATGGCTCAAATTTGAGCCCATTGAACCATAGAGCATTTAACCACTTCATCCTGGGTTTTAATTTTCAACAATGTAACATATAATTTCTTAATAAGCTTATCATCAGTATAGATCAATATTTTATCTATTTCAGTTGGCATTTCATAAAAACCCATTTGTCTGTCTTTAACAAATCTTGATTCTAATTTTGCTCTTTCCCACCAACTGATATCTATATCTTGTTTTTAGAGGTTCTCTATTGGCTTCCTATACAATAAATTTGGATTTGTAAAAGCTTCATGTGGTGAGACCCACTTGGGTGATTTAATATAAAAAGTATTTTAGTTTCTTCCCATACTTTCAGTAGTGCTCTTCTAAGAACGTGTTGCTTGAAGTATTATGTATCTGTCATACCACACAAATGCATGCCATCCCAATAATAAACTGTGTCCTTTTCATTTTAATAACCTTGTATTTTGCAGAGTAATCCATTCTCTCACCCAGGTTAATGCAGCTGCTTTGTAATAAGGCAAATCTAGCTCTTTCTTTTGCATCTTGCAGAGCTTGTAATTTAGTTCTTGGCTTCTTGTTTTGCCATATTAATTGTGATACCAATTCATCAAGTTCTTTAAAATATTGTTGATTTTGAATAATTGGAATTGTTTGAAATTTAAAAAAACCAACTTTGGTAAGATGTTCATTTTTATGGTAGCTATTCTTCCCATGCAGATCTTTCCACCACTCAGCTGTTTTTTTACACTTTATGCAAACCCCGTTTAAGGTGACTGCAGCCTGTTTCAATGGGATTTGTGGGGCCACAAACTAGTTCAGTTTGTGAATGAATCTCCTGGTTTGATTTGTGCTTTAGCTATGAACTACAAACCACATTTTTTCTGGTTAATGCCCATCCATACATAAAGCAACCACATTGGCTAACAGTGGGGGCAGATTAGCCATTAAGGCTGCCAGGAAAAATCCCAGTGAGCCAATGACCCGGAGGGTGGCAGTGTTGAACCTACCAGGGCCACCGCTGCAGTGAGCTGGAGGCTCTTGCAGCCAAAGGCCCTTGCCCCCTGTGGGGCAGCTGGGGGGCAGTACAGGCAGGGAAGCCATTGTGAGTAACCTGGCCCTGGATGGAGCAGGTATGCTACTACCACCACAAGCAAGATGGCTACCTTGGCCCCATTCAGGATTCGTGAGCCACTGTGGCTCAACCTCTCCAAATGGGGTCAGGCATGCCGGCTCACTGTAATTAGGGCAAGAGAGCTGTGCTTTGCTCCTTCCCCCCAGGGGGTGGGGCCCTTTTGAAGGCCATTTGTCTTCCCCAGTCAACCCCTGCCTGGTATTTTTTTCAGATTTCAGTTCAATGTCCTTTAAAGTCCTTCATAGTCTAGGACCCATGTATCTAAAGAACCGTCTGCTCACATCTACCCGTTCATACCAACTACAGACCTGCATCAACCAGAGCCCATTCCTTTTCCATTGTAACTCCCACTCTTTTGGAGAAATGCCTTCTACTCTAAAATCCTCCTTGATACTCCCAGTCAAGTTACTCTCAACAATACTCTCTTTGGCAGTGATATGTTTGAGATATATGCTTGATCCAGAACATCACTCGTGTTAGAACTAAAGTTTTTGGTGGGCATATGCTTAATATAGGCAATTCAAACAGAGCCCCTTCCCTTCCCCTCATGCAGACGTCACACATACCATGCCTAACGTTGCTATCCCAACCAAGTGAGAAAATATACAGCTTGGTTATCTACTGCTAAAGCTGGTATCAAAGCTTCCAGGACATCCCTCCCTGGGAAAGAGAGGGGAGGCACATTTTGCAAGGAAAGTTATGGCTCCTAAAAGCAAAGATTCCCACTCACTCAACATACGCTCCCCTCCCTGCAGGAATTCCCTCCCCCATGCTCCCCTCTCTGCAGGAATTCCCTCCCCCCATTTACTATGACAACTGAGAAGGGGGCTGTTACCAAGCAAATCAACTCCAGGCAGGTTCCAATGCAAGGAAAAGGGACAATTAAAGCCAACTATCCCAAGGTCCCCAAGCAGTAAACATATACATTCAATCACAGAGGGCTAAACTATTTGTGCATTCCCGGGTCTGACCCATGAACAACACAGCAAGAGTTGCCAAGCAGCTCCTGAGGGAGCAAATCACAGAACACCAAAGTACAGTGACCTATACTCCACAGCAGAATGGCTTGGCTGAAAGAAACCAGCATTTGATGGAGATGGTAAGATGGCATGATGCACAACAAATATTGGGGCAAAGCAGTCCTGACAGCTCCTTACTTTCTAAACAGACTTTCTCTCATTCCATCCATCTCTCCAACCTCCAAGAGGACAACATGTATTCTCATCTCTGCTAGTCAGTATGGATTTCATTATTAATGAAGAATATCCTGACCTTTCTTAAAGCAAAAACTCCACTCTTCTTGTGCACAACCAGCTCAAGCGAACACATCCTGCTACTAGATGGTCTAACCTGTAGTGACAGGGTGGTTCTAGAACCCTGAGGAATCTTGACGTGTCCTGGCATTCTTTCTCCCTTTCTCCCTGCACTTATCCAGTCCCATTGATGGGGAGAAAAGTGGGATATAAATATTTTTCGTTATATATCACCTATTGTAATTACAGATCTTTTGACAGAATACAATAACAGGCAAAATACAAATAATTCCTAATAAGGAATAGTTTGACGCATCAGTATTTATGTTAAAATCTGAAGAAGTGAGCAGTGACTCACAAAAGCTGAAAATTTGGTTAGTGTTTAAGGTGTTACTGGACTCTTACTCTTTTCAATGTTAAAAAGTGTATCCAACAGGTACCTATGACATTTCCACAAAAAATATTCTATGCAGCTATCGCAGCACCACTGAAATACTACATTTTCCCACTTTAAAAATGTGCTTTGAGCACTTAGGAAATGCAATATTTGCCACAGAAGAGCTGGCTTGAGAGGAAATAAACAAGTTGTGCTCAGTAAATGGAAAACCTGTACTCGTTTATTGCAGAACGACCTTGAATTACCTGCTCAGGGTCGTCATTGATGACAACCAAGTGTCCACCTTGATCTGTACATAACTTTTCAGCTAAAGACCAGTGCGTCTGCTCTTCGTGAAAATAGTAGCATTGTCCTCTGTTCAACAGCCAGCCCTTTGGACACATTTTGCAGGCTGAGTCTACAAATGGATTACAGAGAAAGTATGCAAAGAGTCATCAGTATATCTATTTCTCAACCTGGCCAAATCTGTAGATATTTAAATCCAGAGATCAGAGCCATGAATCGACAAGACAGATATTTCTACAAGCCTAAAGAAACTCCTAGGTAGGCAAAAGAATATGAAATTTAGGGGAAAAAACCCACACACATAGAAAATAATAAAATAAATACAGTTCCTGTAGCTTTAAGAAACCAATGCCCTCTCAGAGGCTGTTGTGTGTGTTGCTAGGCAACCACAACAGTATTACCAGCCTTAAAGACTTGGTTTTTGCCTTTAAAAAGCAGGGGAGGGAGGAAGGCCTTTTTCAGGGCTATTTTGGCCTTTGAGGGAAGGCTCAGTGGGGTCAGGCCCATCAGCAACAAGGTGACTTGCTCTGATCCAACCTGTATGGCTGTCCCAGGACTGGCTGCTTGTTCTATTCAAAAACAGCCACCCCATAAAAGCCAGTGTGGTGCAGTAATTAGTGTTTCAGACTAGGATCAGGGAGACACAGGTTTAAATTACCACTCTGCTGTGGAAGCTCATGGAGTGACATTGGGCCAGTTATATGTATTCAGCCCAAGCTGATACCCCTTGTGGGTTCCCCATGCAACTGAGCCCAACCTGATGGCTGGCACTGTGGAACTCTGGCATTGTTTCCCAATTTCCGGAGCAGAAGCTGTCACATGAGGTAAGGAGGGAAACCTGAAGACAAGGAGACAGATAAAGGTAGTACAGCTGGTAGGTGGGAAGGGGGGAAAGGGGAGAAGCTATGACAGCTGCCAGGGAAGGGGAAGAGGAAATAGTGGGAGAGGGGAAAATGAGGTGCCCTCCACATGTTCTTATGGGTCCCTGCTTTTCATATACTTTACCCAGAAAACTCTGTTGTATGTTTTGCTTTCATACACAGCAGATTCTTCTCATGGTGTTTATTATCACACTGTACTGGCCTCTGAAGATGTGCTCTCATCATTCCTTATATCCCCAGCTTCCTGAAACATAGTACCTACTAGCAGGGGAGTAAGCAGCGTCTCTGAAGGAAAAGTATTTTATTAGTCCAGGAGAAAGGGAATTTTGTGTCTTACCATTTAGTTTATGAAATCCACTCTCTAGTTTAAACATCTCATCCCAGATCTTTTTCATCTCATTCTGCAGCTCTGTGGTCACTAGGAACATTTTGGGGAGAAAATAAAACAGGTGAACTTGGTCTGATGCAATTGGTATACAGTGCAAAAGTGATTCTAAAACAAGCTTTTCACAGTTTCCTCATTACTTTGTAGACTAACCAGTTAGGACCTAATTCTCACTTCTCACTGCAGGACAATTTAAATGCAAAAACAGAAAATGGACAAATAGTTCTCCTTCACTTTTTCATACTGTAGAGGACAATTGGAGGGTTCAAGTGATTTTCTATTGATTATTGCTGTCTTACAGGAATCTTTGGGGGGGAAGTCTCTGGGATTCCTGGTGTAGTTGGTGAGCAGTTTAAATCACTAAACACTGTTATAAAAGCAGGTGGTTTAAATCATTTTTAATTGACATGTTCCAGCCCTTGTTTCAAAGAAAAGCTAATTATAATTGGGAGCTACGTACACGTGTTTCTCAGTTAATTTAGCCAACTTTTCATTATTTATGGTGGAATCTTCTTGCTTCAAAGAGAATTAGAAGATGTTTTTAAAAGTGCCAAATAGAGGTGAAAAGTTTATTGCAGTGGTTTGTGAGTTTTAGCAACTTTAAATAAGGGAAACCCAGATTATGTTTACTCTTTAAGTTTGGGATATTGTACTATTGGAGTCTATAAGGAATATCTATATATATTTGCTTTTTTAGCTTATTATTTTAAAGAAGAAAAAGATTGCATTTTTAACTGGAATAACAGAAAGCTCTATTTAATGAATTGAATAGGTGTAATTATAACTTATAAGCTTTTATGTTACTAAGCTTTTTACTGGCTCATAACCAGCTATGATAGTATTGGGAATTTTTCTATTTGTCTTTTAAATTGTTATGTACTGGTCGAAGACCGTAATAATAAACTGACTGACTGAATAGGTGTAATGCCAGTGAAAGGAGTTTCAATTGGAAAGCATCACTGCCAATGATAAGACTGATGATCCATCCTTTAAAGGATCTAGCAAATAATTGGCCAATATGTTTTTAACTGACCTGGCAAGGATCCACAGCTAAGGATGTCAAGCAGTTGTATTTTCCATGCAAAATAGTTTTTAAGATGCTTTATAGGAAAGAATGATTGTTAAAAAGATAAATATCTCTGAATGTTTATAGCTGAGAATAAAGCTCATACAAAAAATGTTTTTGTATGTTTAATGAAAAAGAAGAAAATTAGTTGTTTTAATTTTCTAATAATGAAATGTGTTTAAAGCTAACAAGCTATTGACAAAAGAAGAGTTGGAAAATGACCAAGAGCTGGGCCAGGTGTATGGGGACCCCAGCCAACATGAAAGTACATAATGAATTATTTTAAACTATATTTACATTATATTTTAAGAATAATTTAAACATTATAAGAGAAAACAGAATTAAGCCAGAGAACAGGTCTCCCTGCCCCTTTCCACTATCTTGGTAGACCTGCACTCTGGAGTACAGGGCTGCCCACCCCTTTCCACTATATTGGTAGACCTGGGCTTGGATTGTCACCATGCACTGACCCTTAGAAAACATACCAGCACTTAGGGGAGAAAAAGCTTTTGCAATCTACTTTGGTTTTTTTAGTGAAATATGACAACCAGCATTACAGGTCAAGTATAACAGAGGAGGAGCAATCGCTGTCAGAACACTGCCTAACCTAACAGGAAGTTGATTAAATGTTATCAACCTGCCTAAACTACTTATTTATTCAAATATTTATATCCCACTTTCCCCTGTGACTCAAGGCAGTTTACAAATCATACTGAAAAGCATAATAGGGGTGTGCAGAAAAATTGGTGATTCTGGCTCAGTTATAGCCTATGGGGACCATTATAGTCAATGAGCCCCATAGCCTATAATGGAGAATTGATCTGGGGGTATCTGGGGCTCGGGGGGGGTGTTTTTTGAGATAGAGGCACCAAATTTGCAGTGTAGCTGCTGGTACCTCTCCTCAAAAAACCCCCAAGTTTCAAAAAGATTGCACTAGGGGGTCCAGTTCTATAGGCCCCAAAAGGAGGTGCCCCCATACTACATTGTTTCCTATGGAAGGGGGAAAAATGTAAGTTGAAGCTAAAATGCTCTGAGCAGCCCTCTGAAATGTTGTGCACCAGCGCCTCCTAGCACAGCTTAGAGGGAACTGTGCTATCAATAGTAGCAGAGGAGTGGGGTTCAGATCTGTGCTACATATAAATATCTTGAAGAGGGCCACTTTCTGTCCTTCCTGAATCTCCCTCTGTCTCTTCCACATTCTAGCCATGTTCAAGGTTGTATTTAAAGATAGAATTAAGGTTAAAGTTCTGTTAAGAACTTTGGTGCATTTGTTTGATTCCTTATTACAAGAACACACTGTTTTCTCCCTACTATGTGAGAATATTATAGGAGCTGGGCTTTGGTTTGGGGGTGTAAGCCTTTCCTCTATGTTCTTTCTGTGGTCTCTATTCCTCCCTCCTCATCTCTGGGGTTGCTATTCATCCCATGGGGGAGGATATAGACACTACCTCATAACCCAATCACTGAAAATGGTCTCCACCAATTAATCCGTTAAAGTTTCAGTCCTAGTTCTTACCAAGGTGATAAACTATTAGAAAGGCTGTGGAACTCCAGATGTTAATGATGACTCACAGGATTTAATGCACTTCCACACCCAAGAATTCCCCCTCAGAAGAATATTCGGAGTTAAGGCTAAGTAACAGCCCTTCTTCCTGATTTAGGGAAAAGGGGAAGGTTCTAGGGGAAGTTCCATTTTATTTAATAGGGCTTATTCCTAATAAAGTGTTTTTAAGGATTACAGCCTGAGTGCACTTACTATCCTGTTTTTGTTTAGTCTGATGATCTTCAAGTCTCTTCAGGCTGTTATTCATCTGTGATGCTGGAAGAAAACAAAACATTACAACTACACTTCAATCACCAGTTATAGGGGAAATATACTGTTAAATTCTCTGTGCTTTCTTCCAAAAAGTAAAAATCCCAGGAGTAGTACAACAGGGTTCAATTTTACTTTGGTGAGTACTGTACATTTATGGTGTCTCTGTAATTAGGCTGTTCTATTTGCAACTAAAAAAAAACATAGTGGAAGCAAATATAATCCTGCAGCAGGCAGAAGAACTGGTAATCCTGCAGCTAATCCAACAGTGTGGATTCTGCACATGCAGTTGGACACACATACAAATAGTTTCCATTACAGCTCTGTATGCCCTAAAGTTAAAACAAAAACCCTGCCACCCGTTCTTTCTTCCCTTACACTGGCAACCAGCAAGAGAGGGGAGAATGTTGTGGCATTGACACAATGTCTCTTCTAGCACAAACCCAGAAGTGACATCACTGCATCAGCGTGACAGTCTAGGATCCCCACCCCATGGTTTACACCAGAAGTGACATCAAGCCAATAGCACAATGACTCCCCCTCCCCATTTCCCCCCACAGCAGGGAAAGCAGGTGGATGGTGGGAGACCTAGTAAGCCTATATCTCACACATATCCCTCTCATACACGCATCCTGGCAGAACATGATCTCAAATCGCACTCTGTTAGTAAATTCCCATTCAAGAAAAGCTTCTCCCAAGTTACCATTAGCTCCCCTGAGGAAATGTCATCTATAGGTAAAGGTAAAGGTTTCCCTTGCTCGAAAGCCAGTCAAATCCTACTCTAGGGATGCAGTGCTCATCTCCGTTTCCAAGCCGAAGAGCCAGCGCTGTCCAGAGACATTTCCATGGTTATGTGGCTGGCATGACTAGACACCAAGGTGCATGGAATGCTGTTACCTTCCCACTGAAGCGGTATCTATTTATCTACTTGCAATTTCTTGCTTTTGAACTGCTAGGTTGGCAGGAGCTGGGACCAGAAACGGGAGCTCACTCCCGTCATCTATAGACCATGACAATTAGCATGCAATTTAACAAAGGATAGTGGTAAGCAATGGTAAACATACTTAGTCAAGAATTGTCCTTGGGAATGTTGAAAAGAGGGGGGAAGAGCAAAAACAGACTGCAGTAGGGATTTTAGGATCATAGTGAAGTCAATGCATACCATAGGTGGATTGACTAGAATGAAGCATGTCCAGTTGCGTCTGCATCTGGGTGTCTGGAAAAGACAGAGTTCACAGTTAGTAGGAGGACCTGGTTCAGAATCTATTTTTTTAGCAGTGTCATTATGCTATGCTAGACAGTTCTTTGGAGGTAAAAGGAGCTGTCTTTCATTCAAAGGCAAATTTGGTGCACATGAAGTAGATATGTAGTACCAATAAAGGTGTACCACCGAAGAGACTCTTGTATCTAGCCAAAACTGTGACTGAGACTGAACCCTCCATGTGGGAAGACATAAACAAAATGCACACTGACCAAGCAGAAAAATGAAGGAAGGCAGTAGAGGGAGAAATTAAATCTCCAAGAATCAAAAAGGAATATTTGCAGAATCTCTTCCAGAAAGGAAGATGAAACACAAGTGGATTTTCTAAAAGATGGAATTGTTGAACTAAAATATTGTTCCACTAGGAACGTGATTGCAGATGCACTTACAAAGCCACTTCCACTTGAAAAATGGAAGGTGCTGGCTGTTCCCTCCCTCCCCCTTGGAGGAGGAGGGGGAGGAGCCTCAGCCAGTTCTTTGCCAGACTCTCTCAATTACACAGGAGAGCCTTGCCAATCGTTCTCTCCTGTGTGATTGAGAGAGACTGGTAAAGCAAGCTGTAACATGGTGGCAGCAGCAGAACTGCAAATGGAAGTAGGAAACAGCCAGGGTCTTGTGGGCTTGATTGGGGCTCTCCAAGGGCCTAATCCAGCCCACAGATCGCATGTTTGACACCCCTGCTCTACTTGTTAACCATTATCTCACATTTGGCCTCACTGGGAAGCAGCTGCAATTCTGGGTGTGGAATGTGTCCAGCCTACATCTTCAAGCCTGCACAAACTCCTGCATAAAAGAGATGTGTTTTGGATTCACCATCTTCAGACATTGATACCTATGGGACTGAACGAAGAAGTGGACTGGACTTGATGGTTTTGAAAGTGTGAGGTGCTTGTGGCAAAGTGCCTGCTGTTCTTTGAGGTCAGTGCTGATGTTTCAGCTTTCATTAGTTTCCTTCTGTTCCCTGCTTTCTTCTTCTCCTCTTCCTTTCAATTCCTTTCCTCCTTTATGAGTAGAATTACACAACACTTGGGAGGACTGCATCATCCTTTGTCTCTCTATATAGCTGACCCTATTATGACAAATTTGGCTCCTGTCTACATTTTGCTTTATAGATATTAACATCCAGGAAGTTGTTAGCATGCAGTCACTATGAGAAGGGATCCATGGCCTGCCTTACAAGACAACACACAGCATATGAGATAGAAATAATTCTTGCAAAAATTAAAGAAATTTAATATAATTATTGTTTTATATCATTATACCAATTTGGCTCCCCCTCCATTTTAGCAACACCTGGTCAAGATTGATGTCATCAATGTGTGTGTTTTTTTTGGGGGGAAATCTTACTGACCACATAGGAAGGCCCTATAGGCCAAAACATGTATGGTCTTATGTTGGTCATTTGACTTGTCCATCAACTTTGTATGTGCAATTATTTATTATAGCTTATGTAAAGCTTGCTCTGGCTTTTACTGCTGTTTGATATTCAGATCCTATTATTTTAACTTGATTATTTTGTGCATCATATAATAAATATTTATTTTGTTATTTTATTTTGATGTAGCTTGACCCTTGTAGCATCTCTGTAATCACAGTCATCCTTTCTGAATACTCAATGAATGACTGATGATTTGTTCTGAAACCTTTAAGTATGGATGTCAAGCTGACGGGTTGGTAGTTACTTGGATTCTCCTCTTGAAGATGGGGACATTTACCAACCTCCAGTCTTCTGGCACCTCTCCTTTTCTCCAAGAATTCTCAAATGATGGACAGAGGCTCCAAAATTATATCGGCAAGTTCTATTAGTACCCTTGGATGCAATTCATCTGGACCTGAGGACTTGATTTCATTTTTAAAAACTAGGTGTTTACATACCACCCCATGCCTATCCAAAGCTGCAACTCCCTTCCTTCATCATATGTTCTCTTTTTGCCAGGTTTCCCTTGCAAGAGGAGACCAAGGCAAAGTAGGATTTGGGCAGTTCTACCCTCTTCATCTTTCCTCTTCCCACAGTGGGCCTACAACTTCCTTGTTCTTTCCTTGCTCCGAACAGAACCAAAGAACCCTTTTTTGTTGTGTTTAGCATCTCTCACTAGCCTAAACTCACACTGGCTATTTGTTTATATCCATCCTACCATGTGATAACACAGTTCTGTTTGTGCAAGACATTGTGCAGGAACTGAGGCAAGATCAAGTGCTGATTTTTCATTTCCAATCAGTTTTGTAGTGTATAAACTCAAAAGCCTATTTGACACAGTCATTACACTCCAGCTTGAATGAGTGATACGATTTGGGCAAAGAAAGTCATTATTAGGGTGGTGTGTGCATGCTGAAATGTACTGCTTCTTCAAGAGTCCTTGCAAAAGCAGAAACGTTCCATGGGATCCAACCCAGAAAAGCTGTAGTTGCACAAAGGAAAACTTCATGTTTTAAATATAAAGGAACTGAAAGTATATTTTGGGAACCCTTTTATCTATAACTGCTTTTCTTTCAACCATTCCTATCCTGAATATATTTGGTCATGATGATATGATAGAGAACTGAGCTTATTAATATTGGACTCCAAATGTAGGTTATTTAGCCATTTAAAAGCTGGTTCCGACTTAGCAGATAGGAACAAAGCAGAAGGTTAGATTACTGCAATGCACTGTACATGGGACTGCCCTTGAGAAACCTTCAGAAACTTAAATGGGTACAGAATGCTGGAGCCAGACTGTTGATCGGAGTGGGTTGTAAGGACTATATCACTCCAGTCTTGGCCCATCTACATTGGCTCCCACCTTGTTTCCAGGCACAAATCAAGGTGATGGTCTTGACCTTCAATGCCCTATCTGCTTTGGGACTAACATACTTGAAGGACCACCTACTCCTTATGAACCTGCCTGACCACTGTGATCCTGTTTGGAGGCTTTGTTTTGGGTGTCCCCACCTTCTGAGATCAGGCAGGTGGCAACCTGAGAGAGGGCCTGCTCAATCATGGCACCAAAGCTTCGGAATCCTCTCCACAGGGAGGTTTTTGTCTGTTCCCTTCTGTGGCTCTCTTCTGCCAGTGGGTGAAGACTTTGTTTTATCTGGCATTTGCAATGATTACTCCTTCCTAACCCATATTTTAATTGCTGTGTTATGTTTTGTATGTATGTTAACTCTGCTTTTTAATTGTTTTAATTATGTGTGTTGGGTTATTTTAATGGTTTTAAATTGTGATTTTATTATGTATGCTTTTGGTGGCCTTAGTAAGGGCAGAAAGGCAAAATACAATTTTTAAAAAATAAGTACCAAGCAGTTTCAAACAGAAAAGCTGAATTGTTACCATTTGCATGCAGCAGAGTCTGATTACCATGCAACCGTTCCAGTTCCTCGGCTATCTTGGCATCTGAAACAACATACAATTAAGTTGTTAACTGATCTCAATTGATCTTACTCTGAGGTCGTGATCAGACAGGCAGTTCAACCCACTGTTGCCCCGCTTCTAATAGAGACAGATTGTTTTGTTACAGAGAATCCTGACCAGACTCACCCCTTTTAGCGCTCTTCAAAGCAATTTTACTGGCTGTGGGATGATCAGACAGCACCAAGCACGGAGTCAGCCCACTGGCCATTTTTTTAAAGTTTGTCCTAGGAGCATGCCCACAAGCAGGGATGAGCCTTCTGGGATATGTAGTTCATGGGGCTGTCAGCCATTATTTTAAAATGTTTTCCCTCTGAGCATGCGCACAAGCACTTGCTGAGAATGCTGGCATATGGAGTTCACTGCCATCCTCCCTCTAATCTCTTCAATTTACCTCTTCCCCAAATGAAATTTAAAAAGCTGCAGAACAGGGGTGTCTTTGAGAGTTTTTCAAAAAAAAACAAGGTTTTGAGCAGCCCCCCCCCGGGGGGGGGGAGAGAGGTGTGTATATACAGTCATGCGATCCTCACTAACTAGGGGGGGGAATGGCAGCTGGAAAACAAGAGATCAGTGAGACCTGCCTGGCAGTTTGGGGGCGCAACAGAGTGACCAGATGACAGGAAATCCATTTTGGAAGTGGCCCAGACCAACAGGACTGGACTTTCTCAGTTATCAAAGAAACACGGGACAAGGGGAGTGGGGAATGGAACTAAAATGACTGGGGCACGACAGACAGATGTTGCTGTCTGATCGTGCACTTTAAATCCACAAAGGAAGGGCAATGGATCAAATTGCCCATGTGAACGCGACCTGAGACACAGCTAGTCTAGCTGCAGCAGTATGTGCAAAGGGCTTTAAGGCTTCCCAGTACCTCCTGAGTAGAACTGCTTCTACTGCTCAGGAGGAGCAGAAGGACGAAGAGGCCGGTGTTCAAGCAGCTGGCAAGGAAGGACTATCAAATGGACCTTCATGACAGTAGGTAAAAGTTGGAGAGTAGGCTTCAAAAGATAAGAAGCACCTCCAGCTTCTTCCTTTTCAGTCTCCACTGCTCCTTCCTTTGCCTTCTCTACTTCCCCATTTCCCCGCACCCCTTTAGCTACACTTTTTTTTTTGCTTCTCTTCCTGTTCTTATTCTGTGGTTCCTAGTTAGACTGTCCAGCCACCTACTGCTGGAAAGTTACTTAAGGTTGCCACCCTCCAGGTGGGGCCTGGAGACATCATGCTTTTACAACTGATCTGCTGTTTTGAAGGGTGGACTCTATGGCATTGTACCATGCTGAGGCCCCTCCCCTCCCCAAATCCCACCCTCTCCCAGATCCACCCCCAGACTCTCCAGAAATTTTCCAACCCAGACCTGGCAACCCTAGAGCTACTACTCTCAACTGTGTTTCATACCTACATTCTGCTGATCTCCTTCACTTAGTGAGGGTGACAGGCCTGCAGGCTTTGGAAGCCTTAGTCTCTGAACCATGGTGGCCATTGCCATCACATTTTCATGTAGGACATTAGATTGCTGTAGCCACCCAATATGCCACCAAAACATTTTTCAGTGTTATCTGCACATGCAGACATTGCTTGTCTTTGGGGAAAGAGTCTACTTTTTCATAAAAACACTCTGTATTTTTCTGCTAACCTGTGAGTTCCCTTGGGTTTGCAGAAGCCTGAATGCTATCTTTGGATTACCCTATTGTGTAGGGATTTTTTTTAATCTACATGGGGCTATCACCCATTGCTATTAAATATACAGATTATATTCTATAATATTCAAAATTCTGCATTCCATCCCAACCCACAACCATGCTTTCCCCCATGCTTGTGCTTTTAAGATGAGCTGAAATACAGCAGCTTTTTATCCCAAATCCATACATTTTGCGGTCAGAACGATGGTAGTTATGATCCACAGCAGAAACAGCACTGCAGTTGCAATGTAAAGGACTGATATGGATGTTTCTTCCGAATAACATCTGCAACGCTGCAACAGGAAAGCACCTGTGGACAACAAAAAGGCATCAAGTAAACAGTGTGCAGTGGTGGGAGCTACACATTCACTAGAAAGGGGGGGTAACTGTTGTGTCTAATAGCAAAGTGGAACACTTCATACTGACAAGTTTGGCAATGAAATAAAGCCACCAGATTTATGCATTAGGGGGACACCCCAGGAAAAAATGTTGGCTTATAAAAGGAATCTCCCTATTAGAGCTGGGAGGGTTGAGCATGCTTGCTGCCTTCATGCTGAGAGAGGGATGCCAGCCTCCAGGTGGGACCTGGGGATCCTGTGGAATTACATCTCATCTCCAGACTACAGTTTCCCTGGAGAAAATGGATGCTTTGGAGGGTGGACTCTAGGGCATTGTGCCCAACTGAGGTCCCTGTCCTCCCCCAGGCTCCAGCTTCAAATCGCCAGGAGTTTCCCAACCTGGATCTGGCCACCCCCACCCCCCCATCCCCTGCTGGTGGCCACGAGGGGGTGGGATGGGACCTGGCAGCCCTGATAAATCCCAGGCAGCATGAGGGCGGAGCACAGGCACAAAATCCTTAGTAGTCTAGTTGAGTGTGAGGCTGAAGAGACATGCGCCGCCTGTCCATTACTTCCTTTCAGTCAAGAGTGAAGGGTCAGGGCTTTTATTTATTTATTTAGTGATTTAGTCTATTTGTTAAAATGTTTATAATCTACCTTCTCTCTCTATTTCCCCCCTTTCAAAGAGGCTCTCAACAGTTTTCTATCTGGATCTTTAAGCCATTAGATCTGCCTCCTTTTGCCTACTTAAAGAGTGCTTTGAGGCAGTTATTTGGAATCAGAGAGGAAAGTACTTTCTGCAGTCCACATTAACCTCAAAGAGATATATAAAGTGCAAATGGGACAAATCTCCCTAACAACTGAAAGGATCCACGTGGGACTGAAGCTGGATGTTAAATACTGGGTTCTAGATGTATTGCAGTGATCAGCTCTGGTTTATTAAGTGATTTCAGCAAACTAAGCATGCAAAACACCACACCCAACACACACCCACTCCCAGTGATAGGCTATTTACATTACACTGCTTATCTATTGGTTAGCTCTTGGATCCAGGCGAGCTATTGTTCTAGAGAAGCAAGCTCAGCCCGTTCTAGGTACAGCTAGAGGAAACGCTTCGGCTCAATCAGAGGTCATTTCGGGGGGGATCGCGGAGGATCGCAGTTCCCCCAGGTAAGGTACGGGGGCGGGGCACATGACGAAGCCCCGCCCCCTGCTTCCGGTTGCCCCACTTCCGGCCCTCATTCAGCCAGGAGGAGGCAGGAGAAGAGGGAGGGTAAGTGGCTTCCTCCCTGCCTCTCCGCACCCCTGCCTGCCTGGGGCCAGGGAGGGCCTTCACGGGGCTTCCTTGCACTCCTGCCAGCCTTGCAGGTCCACCGCCGGGCCCCTCATGGGGCTCGGCAGTGGAGCTGCAAGGCCGGCGGTGGCGGCCGGGACCGTTGGGGGCGGGGTGTGTGGCCTTATGACACACTTCCGGTGATGTCAGGGGGTGTGGCATATGCTAATGAGTCCCCCTAGCTCTTTTTCTACGAAACGACCCCTGGGCTCAATACATAACACTGGTTTAACAAAATATAACACACAGGGGGTCTGCTGTAGCCCTGAACCTGAGACCTATTAGGATTGTTAAAGGGGGGGGGGATTTCCACATTACTTAGTGTTCCCAACCCCACTGTTTTTCTTCCTTATTCTCAGAAGGACACAATGGCTCTGTTCAGACAACATGTGAAAGCATAGTTCAATCAGAGTAACTATGGTTAGTATGATTGTCAGAATGCAGGTTATGTCCCTAACTATGGTTAGTTGAGGAACTTAAACCAGGAACTGAGGTTTGCTTATTACCTGTTTTACATGATGTCTGAATACAAACATCCTGGTTTAACCCAGGCTGGAGGGAATGTCAAGGGAAACCAAGATTTGACTGATTGTCTGTGAATCTTGGTTTTTACAAACTCACCTTATTAAAATTAAACCACATTTTCACACTATGTCTGAACTGAGCATCTGCCAACTATTTCTGCTCAAAAGCCTCGAGGACAAAATAAACTGTATTAGTGAGCCTTCTTCATTGGCTTTTTCAAGCATCCCTGGAAACAGCAGTAAACCTCTGCTAGATCTTCATCAGTAATTTATCACAAAATTACTTGTGATAAAGTGTGAGCCCTACAGCAGGAGGATGCTTCCATCAGTAAACTGAAAATGCAAAGCTGTTATCTTTTGCTCTTATATTTGCTTTCATGCCTGCAGCTGCTCAGGCTGGCTTCCTTTATTCAACAAACAAACTGATTTAACAGTCAAAGGTTTGAGAACTGTAGTTTGGAAACACTAGCAATCTCTAACAGTGATTTTTGCAGTGCCATTGTTGTTCAGTCACACAGTCGAGTCAAGAAACAGTGCCGTTACCAAACTATAATTACCAGGATTCCTTGGAGGAAACTATTAGTGCCATCCTAAACAGGGTTACACCCTTATAAGACTTCAACAGACTTAGAAAGGTGTGACTCTGCTTAGGATGGCACTATACAACAGCTAAATTGTATTAAATGGTCCTAGTTTGTAATGTACAAGCCTCAGTCCCAGGCCCTTCTTCCAGTGAACAGTGTCACGGGGCAGGCATGACAAACAGTAGACAGCATCTTCAAGAGACTTCTGAATCCTGCTGATTCCGACAAAAGATCCTGGCCTGATTTGGCCCTTGGCCCAGGCTTATGAAAGCAGGAAGCAGCTGTGTCCCTGACATGATACTCTCTGTCCCGGAGCAAAGCCGCATAAATAAGTGTACAACCAGCGATTAATGTCTGATGCAAAGGTTTCCTGAACTATTGAGCAACACTTGCTTTCAGCGTAAATATTCTCTAATGATAGGGCATCTCATACTCCTCTCACTGGAGAGGGGTTTATTATCTGTTGGAAATTTCACCATGGAAGAGACCTTGTGCCAACCTCTGATATTTGTTATTGCATCAGCATTTATTTTATTTTAGATGACTCCATTAGCAGGGGTCGTTTCGTAGAAAAAGAGCCAGGGGAGCTCATTAGCATAACTCATGGCCTTGCAGCTCCACTGCCAAGCCCCATGAGGGGCCCGGCGGTGGACCTGCAAGGCCGGCGGGAGTGCAAGGAAGCCCCGCGAAGGCCCTCCCTGGCCCCAGGCAGGCAGGGGTGGGGAGAGGCAGGGAGGAAGCCACTTACCCTCCCTCTTCTCCTGCCTCCTCCTGGCTGAATGAGGGCCGGAAGTGGGGCGGCCGGAAGCAGGGGGCGGGGCTTCGTCATGTGCCCCGCCCCCGTACCTCACCCGGGGGAACTGCGATCCCCCGCGATCCCCCCTGAAATGACCTCTGTCCAATAGTGATATAAACAGACTTAACACTAGAGTGCCATGATTCCACATTCACGTTGCACCAGTGAAGATAAGGATATGTCTGAAAATAAGTGAGAAATGCCTGACACAATTTAAGAAACTGGGGGCAAGATAAATGAGCAGGGGGTTCTGGGTCATGTTTAGGATTCAAGAGTCTAATGCAAGGCCTTTTGCCTCATGCCCTGGCAAAATCTGGACCTATCATGAGGTAGAGTGAGGCAGTCCATCTTAGGTGGCAGATACCACCACCACTAAAAGGGCACCATTTGGGTATTCTGCCTCAAGCATCAAATATCTTAGACCATCTCTACTCCATGCCCCGGTAGAAGCAGAGCAAGTTATGCAAATATATGCCTAATTTTCATAAACCCAACAGGCCATACAATGGTTCCTTATCAGTTTGGGCACTAATGACCCATATTCATCCTTTATCATTTTATTCTGTCTAGTATACCTCATGTACACTTTTTTAGTACTAACCATATGCAATTCTGCTGTTCAGAACTAACACAGTCCCCATCAGGAGAGCTTAAGCTTTGTTCACTCATGAACTAGCCATTGATGACTGCCCCATCAAATCATTATCTGCAATTGTGAAAGGCCACCATTCCCCCCCCCCCAAAAAAAAAAAACCCAGCAGAGGTTTTTGTTTCATCTCAAACACAATTTTTGTTTTACTGGGAGCAGTTCATCTAGAACTCAAAAAGTCTTTGACACATCAAGGAATAAAAATAATTGTTTCAGTTAACTTGGTAGCAAGAAGGGTGAAAGCAGGGCTTCACAAAGTATTGCCAATGATTGGCGGTAGTGCAGTCTTAACTGGCAATAGGCAGAGTTGATCGGAGGGAGAAAAAAGGACATCCTGATCTAAGCACAGGAGAAGCGAGATGGCAGACAAGAAAGAGGAAAATGAAGAACTAAGAACAGATGCAACTGAACAGAATGGGAAGAGCAAGAATCAGATCAAGAGGAGACGAGGTAGTCAGGAAGGAAGGAAGTGTGGCTATCCTTAACTTGTAAGGATACTTTGGGCACCAGAGAACCAGGACAGAATTTGAAGAAGAAGAAGAAGAGATTGGATTTATACCCCGCCCTTCACTCGGAGTCTCAGAGCAGCTTACAAACTCCTTTCCATCCCTCTCCCCACAACAGACACCCTGTGAGGTAGGCAGGGCTGAGAGGACAGCTCTGACAGAACTATGACTTGCCCAAGGTCATCCAGCAGCTGCAAGTGGAGGAGTGGGGAATCAAACCCGGTTCTCCCAGATTAGAGTCTGCGCACTTAACCACTACACCAAACTGGCATAGCAATGGGGAGTAGGTTTCCATCCCATCCTTTCACCGAGGAACTAAGGGCAGCGTACATTGTCCTTCTTTCTTCATTTATTCTTTTCAAAAACCAAGGGGGGTAGATTAGACTAAGAGTGAGTAACTGGGTCAAGATCACCCAGCAGATGGCACAGCAGTACAGATCTGAACCCAGCTCTCTCAGATCCAACACTCTAACCACTACACCACCCAGGCTCACATGACTGAATTCCCCCTCTGGAAAATAATATTTCAAGTCATAGAAAACTAGCATGTGAGAAAGAAGACTAGGCTAGAAGCCTTCTTCCTGGCATCTAGTTTTCTGTTGAGAGGACTTTCTAACTGTGTGGCATTCTATTGTGTGAGGACCCCTACACATGTGCAGTCTGAAATAGTACAGTACACAGGTTTCCTGCCTCACTAAGAATTAGATCAATATGTGGTTGGTATAAAGATCGTTCAATCCATATGTGGAATATATCAGGAGGAAAACTGGATTAGATTTAGTTGAAGGTGAAGTGAAAATTAGTGGAAGGAACATTAACAATTTGAGATATGCAGATGATACACATTACTGGCAGAAAATAGTGAAGATTTAAAATGACTACTGATGTAGGTTAAAAAAGAAAGTGCCAAAGGATAGGTTGACGATGAAGAAATTGAAACTGTTTAAGATTTTCATGGCCCCATCCTCAACCAAAAGGGAGATTGCAACCAGGAAAACTGAAGGAGATTGAGACTGGGAAGAGCAGCCATGAAGGAGCTAGAAAAGATTCTTAAATATAAGGAACCAAAACCAAGATCAAGATAATCCATACTATGATATCCCCCCATCAATTTGCATGGATGTGGAAGACAGACAATGAAGAAAGTTGACAGGAAGAAAATTGATTCATTTGAAATGTGGTGTTGGAGAAGAATTTTATGGATACTATAGACTGCTAAAGACAAATAAGCGGACTCTAGATGAAATAAAGCCTGAACCCTACAATCTAAAATGACTAAACTAAGGCCACTGTATGTTGGTCACATCAAGAGAAGGCAAGACTCACTGGAAAAGACAATAATCCTAGGGAAAGTTGAGGGTGGCAGGAATAGAGGACAACCAACCACAAAATGGATTGACTCAGTCTAGGAAGCCAGAGCCTCCAGTTTACAAGACCTGAGCAATGCTGCTCATGACAGGACATTTGGAGGACATTAATGTGTAGGCTCACCAGAAGTCAGAAGCAAGTTGATGGCATATATCACACACATGTAAAGTTTGTACAGGACTTTATATAGTTACATTTATTTTTACAGGGGCTTTCTCATCCACATAGGGATGCCACTCTAATATCACTGACACAAGTACCAATGCGATATCACACTTTTCCCTGGGCTAAAGCTCCTTCCTACCAAGGAGACCTCAAAGAGCAGAGCCTTGTGCAAAGTGTGCATGTATCTCAGAGCCCTGATCTCACAAACAGCGTTCCAACTCTGAACAGGCAGTAAGAGCTGACAAACTGAGCGCCTTCCTTAATACGCAGCTTAGCTTAGCTGTGTCAGTTCCTGAATCCAACCTGGAGCTGACAGTTACCTCTTTTCCCTGATGTCTTGTCAAATGTGTTGTCTTTCTTGAGCTCAGCTGTGTCCGGTTCTTCACACTTCATGTAGATGCCACCTGGAGCCATTCTGGTCAATCTCTGTGCTTCTCTGCTTTCAGCTACTTTAATATAAATTTGAGGACTATGGAGCTTTTCTCAAGAAAGGAAATGCATACAGCTAGCCTTCCTCTTTTAAGTCAGGAGTCCTGTTTAAGTCACTTCTGCATTGAAGTTCTTTGGAACATCATCTGAACTTGCATCTCATGCTCTGACTCATCCTTAGTCTGATTCCCAAGGATTCTCCATTTCCCTGCCATCACTGCCAAGAGTGCAAGACATTCACACTAGTAATCCACACAGGAGTTTTGAGTACACTTTCCTTTGTTAGCTGTCATTTCCCATGCATTTTTCTCCCACTGCCCCACTGGAAGACTTCTAAAAAAGTAGTTGCTAGTATATTATAGCATCTTAATGTTATGAAGATCTGTTTCCATAATCTACTGGTTCCTCTGAATTCCCAGCTTTCACTTTTAAGAAGCCTATAGTCTTATTGGTTTTTTTGGTGTGAGGATGGAGGGGCAACAATGCAGCACAGCAGCACCCACCCTTCCCAGAACCCACCACAGAGGCAGAGCGTGGTAGTGCTTGCAGTTTTCACCACCACCCCTGTCTACTCCCGTGAGGTATTGAGAAGAGACAGGGAGCTGAAGTGGAGGGGCAGTGCCTGCCCTGCTTGTCCACAAGAAGCCACCACCTACCCTCATCCTCTAGCAAGGTGGTGAGAAAAGAAGGGAGCTGGATCACCTCAGTGCTGATTGGAGTTCAGGCGCGGGCAGTCCCCGCTTGAAGAGAACCATTTAAAGGGAACCCTTTAACTGCTGTTTCTTCAAGTAAGGGCTGCCTGCGTCTGAAATCCAAGTAGTGAAATCGCCACTTGGAGTTCAGGGAAGGCATGTGGCCACCTGTCTCCCTCCCTCCTACCCCCCTCCCCTGTTGCCCCACAAAATTTCCCCATGCCCCATCAACCCAAAATTTCTGGCTATGGAGCTGCCTCAAAGTCTATCAATAAGTCAAATGATCAGAACAAACAGAATGAGCTAACTGGAGATATAGTGGGTGACAGGAGATGGGATTATTCTGCCCAGGCTTCCCTGGCCACTACTGTCTACAGGTGCAATCTCACAGGTTGTTTTGTGAGCTTCTTTGACCTGTGAGGCGAAGGCAGCACTGCTTCGGCTGGCATTGGCTCGAATAGTTCTGGAAGAGCTGCAGGGTCTGGAAATTCAGAAATAATTTCCCCTACTAGTCACCTCAGCATTCAGGAACTCAGTCTGTCCTGGCAGGGTTGCAAGAACATCTAGGGCTTCCTGACTCTTGAGGCAAGACAAGAGCAGGGGCGGACCTACTACGAAACTAATGAAACTTAAGCTTCAGGGCCCCTAATCCTGGAGGGATTTTTTTTTTAATGAGTGAATTTTTCAACAAAATTGATGGAATTTTTTTAAGTGTTTGTTATTAAAATAAAGCTATTTTAGTGACAGAATCATAAGCCAATGGGTTGAAGTACTTAACAGTGACCTTGTTGGATGTTGCCCTATTGTTGCTGATTGAGAAGGGGGCCCCATAACAGTTCAAACTTCAGGGTCCCAAGAATGTAGGCCCGCCACTGGACATCTCATAATCATTTCATCCAACTGGACTGTATAAAAAGAGTGGTCTAGTTTGTGATGATAACAACCCTGGCACCCACTTGATTTCTCAGAAAAATTCTTGACCCATGCAGGGGTAGAAGGGGTAGGGTGGGCTCCGCCACCTCTCATCTCCTGAGCCACTTACTGATTATGGTGTAATAGAAAAGACCACATTATAAATTTCATACTCTTTGAGGCTATCAGATACTGCCCTCCTATTTTGGGTGTTTTCCTTCCTGCGTGATGGTTTTGAGGCTCTCAAGATAACATCTGCCATAAAGAGCTGCTATGTAAGTTACTGCTGACAAAGGAAAACTGGATGGAAGAGGTTGTGAAACCAGTGAGGCAGCACTCTTCTTGGAAATCCACATGCTTCTCGTTTTCTCAATAAAATGACATTTTAATTTCTTAGAAAGGAATGATCCATCAGTGCCACTGATCCGGGTCTTTTGAGTGGAAACCACAGGGGTCATAGAACTCTATGGAGTACATACAAAGAATTGGAATAGAGCCTTAACCGATTTGGGAGAAGGGAATTTAGAGTGGAGACGTGGTGGGGGATGCTCAGCTTCTCTCCTGCCTACCAGTTCTCCATTCCAAATCACAACCAGTGATTTTTCCCCCCCTGAAGGCTTCCAGATGTGTGCTGTATCCCTGCCAAGAAAAGGAGTCACTGGAGGTATACGGAGTAGACCACAAAAATGGTGAAAGGGCTAGGACCCCACCACTTGCTTCTCTACTTCACCCCCCTGCCATTTCTCTGTTCCCAGTTCTCTTCTCCAAAAGCTGTTTTCCTCCCCCCTTTTTTAAATGCAGTGTCAGCTCTCAGTGATGCACATTTCCATGCAGTGTACTGTTGGTTCATGAAAAACACACCCTTGACACCACCAATGACACTGTGAAATCATTTAAACTCTTGCCCTTTTCTTCACATAGCATTTCTTTGGCTGAAGTCAGAAAGCAACTGTTGAGAGTTGAAAATGGTTTGAGAAAGCCTTGTTTTCCAAGTATACACATGCATTTCTTTTCTCCTACCACCACCTCTGGCTAGGGCTGCCAACTGGCTTAGAGAAAGGTATCGCGTCTCTTTAATAATTACTCTTTCAAACCGCCTTCAGTGCTATTGTCTGTTTCAGCTGACTTCTACCATAGGAGCTCTGCTGATCAGGAGATCGCTGCAGCTTCACAGGAGAAGACCCATGTAAGCAGTGGAAGATCTGAGGTGATGCTATACGGTGTTCCTTTTAAAAGTAGCAGCCCCACACAGCTAGCACTGGGAGGGGGGCATAGTTAGGCCTTCTTCTGTTGAAGCTGCAATCAGCACTGGAGGACAACACAGGAATCCCTCTCCATCCCCCAGCTGCAGTTCGCTCCTCTGGGGAAGAAAGCAACCCCGTAGCGGGGGGGAAATTGCCCATGGGTGGTGGCGTCCTGAGTCATGACACCTCTTTCTGCTCACTGCCTGCTGCCCTGCCTGCCTTCTCGGCTGTCCCAGCAGCAGTGCAGCAGCTGGGCAGGCTGGCGCAGGTGCAGCGAGGCACCGGGGCAGGCCGTTCTCTAATAGCCCACCCCAGTGCCTCACCACCTATGCCAGCCAGCCCAGCTGCCACACTGCTGCTGAGAGAGCTGAGGCGGTCCAGTCTCTACACCTCGTGCAGCAGGGAGGCGAGCTAGTGGTGCTGCTTGCTCCTCTTACTCTCAAGGACCCTTACTCAAGGAGCAGAACCACTAACTTGCCTCCACCACTGCCCCATGGTGGGAGAGCTTCGGCTCCACACCAGCTTCCCCTTTGCAAAGAATCTATGACAGCATTTCACTTTTCACAGCAAGTGTGTGTGTGACCATTTCCTCAGTAACACAAAATGTGTGACCATGAACTTTTGCATAACCCACCCACAACAAAACACAAATGAAATTATGAATGGAAGACAAAACAAAGGTAAGGAACTTTGTAATGGACAGAATTGTGTCATAACGCAATCAATATTATGGTTTTTTTAAATGGCGGATGTCTCCGGGACAACCTGGGGGCAGAAGGGCAGTAGGCAGGCTGAATACACATAACTGCTGACAGAGTGGCACAGCGGGAAAATAAGTTAGAATATGAGAGTTCGTCACTGGGAAATGGCGAGTTAAGATCCGGAGGAGGGAAAACATCGCTGAAAAGTGGTTTCGGAAAACGCGGGGTAAGGGGGTGCAACATTCGGATCTACTCCTGGGGAGGCAGAATTTGTCAAAATTTCCAGGGCATCAGCTTTGGAGAGTCAACGCGTCCTTCCTCATAAATAGAAGGGTGCTTGAATATTGCTGCCCTCTGCTGGCTGAAATCCTTCAGCAGCGGGCTGCTATTTTTTACTTTCAGGAATTGATTTATAATCCACGAGAAAGGCTGTTTCAATCTATTGAAGCAAAAAGATAAAGACTGCTGCCTAATCACACCTGCCATGTTATCAAGAGCCCATTCACCTGCCAATGTTGCCTTTCAAGTGGCTAATGCATGCCAAACAGAAGCTTTTCAGCACAATGAATAGACACAAAGCAGTTTAAAAGGGAACATTTTGAGGAGGAGCCTTTCTATGTATATTGTACCTCTAATCCTAGTTCACTATGTTTAAGCAAAGAAATGAATTCAGGAGATGGGCCCCTTTTATTTTTAATGAAACTGTAAGTGCTACATAGGCCCCTTCTTTTATTTTTAATGAAACTGTAAGTGCTAAATTAGATGACATAACAGTGGTGGACCTTTTTGTGTAAACCTGGCTCTGCCTTAATTGCATACAGCAGGAGTGAGAAGCCTGATTTTTAGAGCAAAAGGGACTTGCAGATGGGGTGTTGAACTACCCCCCCATACAGAATAAAATACAGTGCAATCCTAAACAGAGTTGTACCCTTCTAAATCCCTTGTCGTCAATGGGCACAGAAGGGTGTAACTCTGTTTAGGACTGCACTGCACACCACATGCTTTTCTTCTCCACTGAGTTCCAGTGCCAGGAGTGAAACTGCTGAGAGAAAAACACTTTGGGGACAACCTACAGAGAGGTGAGAGGCAGTCACAGGGAGGGTTTCTCTCCCCATCTCCGTGTACCTCTTTTGTTCTAAAAATCAGAGCTATCCTCACCATGATCAATATGATCTGGGTAGTCTCAGATTTTAAAAAAAATAGATCTGCTACCATCACATCTAATTTGACCATTGCTGCTTAGCCTTAATATTCACATTCTTTGCTCATCTCTCTTATGTTCTCTTTATAAGCCTTCCCAAGTTCCCAACCTGTCATGTACTTCAGAACTGATGTTCTAATCTAATACTTTGCTCAGTGAGATATTTCCCATTTGATCCTTGATATTTGATTGCAGCTTAAAAGGGAACATTTTGAGGAGGAGCCTTTCTATGTATATTGTACCTCTAATCCTAGTTCACTATGTTTAAGCAAAGAAATGAA